CAATCCAGAGGACTCCAAGCCAAGTTCAACCCCATTCAAGATAATCAATTGTGGCATCAACATTTAGCTCACCCTTCTCCACCCATTTTGTCAACTTTATTTCCAAACTTAGGGAATGATGCTATCTCATGTGAAACATGTCACTTGTCTAAGGCCACTAGATTACCTTTTAACTCTTCTTGTCCAGGGCTAGTAAGTGTTTTGAACTAGTTCATTCAGATGTATGGGGACCAACTTGTGAATCATTTGATGGCTATATGTATTTTGTGATTTTTGTCGATGACTTCTCTCGAGTCACATGGTTGTATCTTCTAAAGTCTAAGAATAAAGTTATGGAAGTATTTAAGGACTTTCATAACCTTGTTAAAAACCATTTATGCTCTCAAATTCAAACCTTAAGGTCTGACAATGGCATCGAATATATGTCCCATATCATGAAACAATATTTAAGCACTCATGGCATCATGCATCAAACAAGTTGTGTAGGCACACCTCAACAAAATGGCGTAGCCGAATGAAAAAACCGTGATCTACTTGAAAAAACAAGAGCTCTAATGCTACAAATGAATTTTACAAAGAGATTTTGGTCCCAAGGGGTTATAGCAGTTGCTTATATCATTAATAGATTACCCAGCCAAGTCTTGAATTTCAAGTCTCCCCTAGAGGTCATGAAAGGAAGAAAAATTAACCTCTCACACTTTAGTGTTTTTGGCTGCATCTGTTTTGTGCATATTCAATCTCATCACCAAGATAAATTAGATCCTAGAGTTGTTAATTGTATTTTCCTTGGTTACTCATCTACACAAAAGGGATACAAATGTTATAATCCCCAACTAAGGAGAATGATTGTGTCCAAAGATGTTTGATTTCATGAAACTACCTCTTTTTTCAGCAAGTCAAGTGAAATCACCGTTCAAGGGGATGGCTTCTTGGATGTGTTCCTACTACCAAGAATCGAACTTGAGGCTCTACAACAATAAGATCTCAGCCATGCCAACATTGATGCATCTCTCAATGAAAATAGTAATGAAGGGTATCATTCTGATGGTACACTGCATGAAGATGGTGACAATCAAGATGATGCGAACGAGTGTGAAACAACTCTGTCTGCTTCTCGACGCAATCCAATGCGTGTTAGGAAAACTCCCACAAGACTTCAAGACTTTGTCATCTACAAACCCACACATCCCATCTTCAATTGTGTGTTGTACAAGAGAGTGACACTAGCCCATGCTGCATTCCTAAGCGCTATATCAAGTAACAAGAAGCCTCATAATTTCCATGAGGCCAACAGCCAAGAGATGTGGAAAGAAGCAATGCAAGAAGAACTTAATGCCCTAGATCAACACAACACATGGAGTATCACCAAACTTCCAACAGGCAAGAAAGTCGTGGGTTGCAAATGGATTTATAAACTCAAATTCAAGTCAGATGGATCAATTGAGAGGCATAAAGCAAGACTGGTGGCTCGGGGATTCACTCAAACATTCGAGGTGGATTACAAAGAAATGTTTGCACCTGTTGCCAAAATGAACACAGTGAGAGTGTTATTGTCCGTCACTGTAAACAAGGGGTGGTCCATGTACCAAATGGACGTGAATAATGCATTCTTGCACGGTGATCTCAAAAAAGGAGTCTATATGAAATTGCCACCAAGGCATCCTTAAAGCAATGAACCGGATTTAGTGTGCAAATTGCACAAATCCATTTATGGCCTGAAACAGTCCCCACGAGCTTGGTATGCAAAACTAAGCTTAGTTCTCACTAGTGTTGGTTTCAAAAGTAGCAATGCCGATTCTTCATTATTTGTTCGCACAGGAGCTGTGGGCAAATTGGTTGTGTTGATTTATGTTAATGATCTGGTAATTACAGGTGATAATACTGACGAGATCTTCAACCTTAAACAGACTCTCAGACAAAGGTTTGCAATTAAAGACCTTGGGATATTGAAGTGCTTTCTTGGTATAGAAGTGGCAACTTCGCACAAGGGATTGTTTCTTAATCAAAGAAAGTATGTCTTGGATTTGCTCAAGGAAGCTAACATGAGCGATGCTAAACTGGCCATTACTTCTCTTGACAGCAAGCACACACCTAGCTTGAAGGGCATGCCACTTACGGATATCAGTCATTTTCAACGATTGGTTGGTAAATTGATCTATCTAACAATCACCAGACCCGACATCACTTGTTCTGTAAGTCTTGTGAGCCAATTCATGCACTCCCTGACTCTTGAGCACTTGACCCTTGTTAAAAGGATCTTACGCTACTTAAAAGGATCAGTGGGTCGAGGTATCATCATGCAGAAGAATGACAACAACCAATCATGAGGTATTGCGATGCTGATTAGGTGGGGAATGCAATCGATCGTAAGTCCACCACAGGCTACTGTATATTTGTCGGTGGAAACTTGGTCACCTGGAAAAGTAAGAAGCAAATTGTTATCGCCAGATCAAGTGCCGAAGCTGAGTATCATGCAATGTCTTCAACTGCGTATGAGTTGATCTGGCTCAAGGGTCTTCTGTGTGATTTAAGTGTTCCTTCAACTCTTCCTATGTCCTTATTTTGTGACAATCAGGCAGCCATGCATATCGCATCAAACCCCGTGATTTAAGTGTTCCTTCAACTCTTCCTATGTCCTTATTACGTTCGGGAACAGGTGCAGTCACAGGTGATTTAGACATATTATACAAGAAGCTTCAACCAACTGGCTGACATCTTCACAAAGCCCTTGGCTTTTCATCAGTTTCAACAACTTTTGTTCAAGCTTGGATCCATAAATCTTCTGGATCCAACTTGAGGGGGCGTATTGGAAGTTAGTCCAGTGGTTATTAGGGTTTCCTGAATACTAGGGTAGGTTTACGGTAACACTGGACAATAGGGGGGATTTGTCAACTATTCTTCTTTGTGCCTTCTGGGTACTAATTGTTCCCTAGGTGGTTAAGAGTCCGGTTTATCTTTGGGCTGTCAATCTTCTTAATCTTAGTTGTCAACTCCCTTAATTCAAGGAGTTGTTATTTGTCTTCCCTAAGCCACCTGTTGTGGCGTAATTCAAGGAGTCAATCTCCTTATATATTGTTGTACAATTGTAAAGAACTTATGATGGAAATACAATACAACCTTTGAAAATCAAGAGGGTTATGGGTGTTATTAATTTGTAGAGTATTCATCTACTTTATGGGTTGTCTAAATCAAAGGGCTACGAAGCGTTTAAGTAAACAAAGTTAGGTTTCGAAAGAAATATTGTACTCCAAATTAATTAGGTGGATAGGAACTTATGAATAAGAAGATACATATTTACTTAATGACAAAGTAGGCAGGTTAGGCTGTGGTATTCTCCTTATTTGCTTGGGTTAACCACCCTCATGCATGCATAATATTGCATATATGTTGGTACTTACGTGAGCTCTAGCCCGCCTTCTTGTTATTTCAAGGGTCCAAGAAACCATAGTCCATTTTCCAAAGGGGGAAACCGTTACAGAAGCACTTGTTGAGCCTCTATGTTAACCTTTTCCCTTTAATTAGTAGACTTTTGGAATCACACAATTGACCATTGATCGACCATATATATTAGTGAAGAAACTTCGAGGAGGGTGACTACCGATGACTTCAATACCATCCAATTCGATTCCGTTACCATAGATTTGGTTCTGGGAATAACATTTTAAACACATGATAACTACGAGTTTTATTTAAAAACACTGCAATAGCTCAACCGGAGGAAAAAAAAAAAAAAATAAAAAAAAAAATATATATATATATATATATATATATATATTTATTCTTACACATCCCACTTTCCTTCTCACTCCTTCAAATTTCAATTGTTAAAAGGGAAACCATATGCTTATATGTTATTTTATTTTCTTAATTTCCCAATACACTTATATGTTATTTTATTGAGTAATGCTATTTATACCATGTTTTTGTCCCACATTTTCATACCATCTTAGATGACATTTGATGTGAACAACCACATTATTTGAATTAATCAGATTTATAAATTTAGTTCATTATTTAATAAACTAATAATTAAGAAAAACTAGTTAATTAAATGATGATTGTGGTATACGAGGAGTGTTTCTCCTTCATTTTCTTAGGTTTTGCAAATTTTTCAAATGATGTGGCTGTCCACATCAAATGCCACCTAAGGTGGTATAGAAATGTGGTATAAAAACATGGTATGAATAGCATTACTCTAAAAAGATTGAAATTAAATGATGTAGCTTGTCCAACTCATTTGCCACTTAAGATGGTAAACAAATGTGGTATAAAATTGTGGTAAGAATAGCATTACTCTAAATTTGGAAACTAAATTTACAAACTAAATCATGTGTCACCAATAGAAATGAGTGCATTTATCAATGCTTAAATAATAAATCAATCATAACCTTTCATATCCTTTAGTTTCCAAAATTTATTCTCTAAATTTAATCTCTCTAACATTACCCTTTTCTTGCAAACTAAATTCCCTATACATACAGTCAGACTGAAAGTTAATCTTAACTAAAACAAATATGATATTTTCATCAATTAATAATAATAAAAAAAAGCTTTGCAGGCATAAAAATAAAATGTGTACGCTTAAAATTAAAAGCTAAAACAATAGGTACTTATGGGAAATTTGAATGGAAGTTAACAAAGGTGGTGCTTTAGCATTACAACAAGAGTCTAAGTGGTAATGTACATATTTGTGTGCAGGGAGAGGGAACCAGATTTCTAATTAAATGTTAAAGATCTAGATATACAAGCATGGTAATTAGTGCACACATGCCTTAAAAGGCAGAGACTGAGTAATCGTTATACGATTAACCGGAATATCTAATTGCAAGCTTAACATAAATAAAATGAAAAATAATATTTTATTCATTATTCTTAAGAATTTTTACATTAATAATAAAAGAAATAGTCAACAATTAACTGGCCAAGCTAGTACATCAAAAGGTGATAACTAGCTAGCCCTTATTATCCTTGCACACATACATAAATTCATATAGCCTTATTTTATCTTCGTAATGTCGACCGAATATAAGTTCATTATCAGCTGATCAGGAATTAATCTTCGATCACGCATAGCTGCACATGCCATACGCACATGAACTGCCTTTCTTGCACCTATTGTTGCAGCCGCCACAGTTTTTCCTGTCAGACCTTGGATTCACACACTTGCCTTTGCAGCATATCTCCGCGTACTTGCATTTTTTCCCACACTTGCCACAGTTTACTCTGTCTGTGTTCGTGTTTACACATTTCTTCTTGCAGCAATCTGGGCCTCCGCTGCCCGAGAGCCGACAAACCCTAGGTTTTTTGTCGCATGTCATCACTGCAGCCCGAGAAGCAAGGAAGCGGCTTGTTCCCCTCAGAGAAGTGCTTTTTTCTAATTGGCTTTTGGTTTCATCGTTAGGATCATTGTTTTCCTCTTCGAAGAATGATTCTTCTTGGCCTGGGATTGCGGATAGAGTACTAACGGTTAAAGTCAGTAGCATGGCAAAAACAAGCAAAACCTTGAAGGCTTTCATGATGTAAGTTTAATTTGTTGGTGAAGCGGAGAGATTTCAAAAGGGAAAAGTTGATGAAGGAACGTATAGGATGTTTTTTTTAGATGGATAAGCGTATGGGTTTGTAGAAGTATTTATAGAGAAAAATTGATCAGTGGGGGCTAGTTGATAAAGGTCAACGAGTTCGATATTATTTGAAAACCAGGGCTGCATGTATTAGTTAATTAACTTGTATAATTTGAGAGTTCATGATGTCCTTAATGCGTTGGTCTAATTCAAAGGGCTACAAACAAAACGTTTTAAGTAGACAAAGTTAGGCTTCCAAAGAAACATTATACTCGAAATTAGGTCAGTATGAACTTATACATGAACGAAGAAAGGAAACTAAGTCACTGAGTTTGCTCATAGGCTGACGGTTAATTCATCACACTCATGATGAATCATTAGATTTACCGAAAATTTAACTTGCCCCCTCCAAACTCATTTTTTCTAGCCTCTAACCCATCATATAATATTTTTCCGAATAAAACCTAATGACTAGGATCCAACTAAGCAACTTACCAAATTAAGTTTGTGTGTCCGTTTTTATATTTTCTGGATCCGTAATATACCCCCATCTAAGCCAGTATGGAAAGTTCTTGTAATTTTGGTTTAATTGATCATGTGCATTGAATTTCACAAGGTCTTGTAGCCATGAAATATAGTTCTAGATGGAGGAATTAATTTGCAATAAATTTCAATTTGAATATAGCTAATTTAGTGCTTATTTTCAACAATTTCTATTGTTGAATTTTATGAAAATAATTTACTACTATGAAAATTAATTTGATGAAAATAATATCTATTGTTTAATTTTATACCTATAGTATAATTACATGAAAATAGTTCACCTACTATGAAAATTAATTTTTTTGAAAACAATATCTATTGTTTAATTTTATGAAAATAATTTACCTACTGCATAATTACATGAAAAAATTTACCTACTATGAAAATTAATTTTTGAAAACAATATCTATTGTTTAATTTTATGAAAATAATTTACCTATTGTATAATTACTTGAAAATTAATGTGCCTACTTTTTAAACTTGTAACAAAATTAATTTACCTACTTCTTTTTATGGTAATAGTATACATAAATGTCACATCCCGAGCCTGCTCCACCATTGTAGCACGATATTGTCCACTTTGGGCCCCGACTACACCCTCACGGTTTTGTTTCTGAGAACTCACACGAGAACCTCCTAGTGGATCACCCATCATGGGAGTGCTCTCGTGCTCTACTCGCTTAACTTCGGAGTTCCAATAGAACCTGAAGCCAGTGAGCTCCCAAAAGGTCTCGTGCTAGGTAAAGATGAGAATATACATATAACGCTTACATGATCCACTCTCCTGGACGATGTGGGATGTCACAATCCACCCCCTTAGGGGCCTGATGATAAGCTCATATCTATATATATTTTATATCAAATTTACTTGTCGTTTCTTAGTTAGTTCCTTATATTATTAAGCTATTTGCTTTGTTTTTGTGTTTTGAAGGATTTATCAAGCAAAGAAAGGAAAAATAACACAAGTGGGATTTTAAGTAACAAATTCGTCAAAACTGCCTGTGCAGATCAGCTGACTTTGGAAGCAAGTTGCAGACAGCTCAAAATGAATTAGAGAATGAGCTTATATGCTTGGAAAGCTACGGATGTCTATTTTCTGGAACATTTTGCAGATTGTTAACATAATTTTTCTAGAAGAAGTTATGGCTGTTTTAACACTGAAAGGTTTTCAAGAGGCTGAGCAGTTTGTAACTGACAAGAAAGCATTGAAAGCAATAAATCCAATAAAACTAGCAGCCAAAACTGATGCAGCCAAGAACAAGCTAGCTGATACCTATTCAAATATCATAGGAAATGGAAAATTAAGTGGGAGTAATGGGCATAAAGGCTACCTAAAGGGTTACAATTGTTTTACCATTTCCTCTCACTTATTGTCATTAATAAATGGTTGTTAGTGGGGTGAGTTATGGAAAAAAAAAACTGGGGCAGCAAGCAAGAAGAAAAAGGTTGCAGGTTGCAGCGGCAAAGAGGGAAGAAAAAGGAGAAAAAAAAAAGATAGAAAAAAAAAGGAAGGAAAGGAAGGAAAAAAAAAAAAGAAAAAAAGCAAGGTTGCTATGTTGGGGAAGGAAGAAAATGAAGGAGGAAATCTTGACATTCTCTTCTTTCGGTTTTATCTTCTCAAACTCATGTCTTTCTTTTGGTTTTATTTAAGGATTATGTGTAACTAAATTTTTAGTAGTTAGGGGTTGTTTTGAAGCCCTAAATATGCTTGCAAGTTTGTTATGACATTTCATTTGAATTACTTTTATGAATGGATGAAAATTGGTTCACTACTTGTCTCATTGATGAATTCTTTATGTGTTTTCTTTGGATGCATACTTAGTAAGCATATCTAGGATTTTAATGCTATGAATATGTGTGTGCCTGCCCTTGTCAAATGAGGACCTACATATGTTCTAGAGTAGTACTTGTTAATTGCGATTAACATGTGAACCAATTTCTAGGATAAGTAAGACAACACTAGTATTTACGATGCCTTGTGATGACTCAAACTCTTTTTGTTCTTAATGATTTCTACTTGTTAAATCTATGAACACGCCATTCTAGATTGCATGTTAGGGACTAAGTTAAGTTGAAAACACCATTCTCTTAACATACTACATAAGAAAGAGTAATAGGTTGAGCTCTAATATTGAGCCAATTTCAGCATCTTCATCCAGAAATAGAAGGAATTTGAATGAAACATAACATGTTTGCATGATTATTTGGTGTTGGATAGCACTTCCCCTAACTCGTTTTTCTTAAATTGTGAACTACTTAAAATCTATTTTTGTCCTATTTTTGTTCGATTTAATTTAAATAGAAAATCAACTCCAAAAATCCTAAACATTTGTGTGGGTGTAGCTCTGTGTGTCTAGTATCTGCATATAAAATTTCGTGGACTTTAGATAAGTGTAAGTCGGTCTAATAATTATTTTTCGGTGGCTGGTCAGTAGGGACAACAGCCCAGTTTTTGTGACATTTTAAGTAGTTAGATAAAACAATCTTTAGTAGGAAAGACCCTTATTTTCATATGCTACAATTGAAAAATCTTTGTGTTAATAAGGAAAATCAATAAGACATTTGTGTGCTACTTTGTGGTGTGCTTTTAATCCCATCAAAAGTTTGGTGCCGTGTCACCGGGGATTGCTATTTCTAATTACTTATTTTTCTATTGTTTTCTTTTCTTGTCTAATTAGTGTTTTTGGTTTTGGTTTTATTTGAGGTATTCTTCATAGTATATGCATACTCGAAGGTCTAAGAGCATTGATCTAGCTTCTTACGATCCTAAGCTTGAACGAACACTTTGAAAGTTTCAGAGAACAATCAAGCAGAAGCATGCATTGGTGTCTTTACCACCATCTTCTCCACCACATTTGAGTTCAGAAGAGGAGGAAGAACCATAGGAAGGCATGGCTGATAACTGTACTTTGAGGGAGTTAGCAACACCAAATACAGATCAACAACCATTGTGGATCACATATCCAAATGCAGAAGGAGGATTTGAGCTTAAGTCCGGCATGATTCACTACTTGCCTAAGTTCCGTGGCTTCTCAATAGAGGATGCCAACAAGCAGCTCATAGAGTTTCATGTGGTATGCTCGGGAATGAGACCAGCCAATGTGGATGAGGAGCAAGTCAAGTTGAGGGCATTCCCATTTACATTAGAAGCTGAGGCAAAGAAGTGGCTTTACAATTTACCTTCGGGATCAATGAACACATGGAACCAGGTGAAGCATGCATTCTTGGAGCAATATTTTCCGGCCACAAAAGCTGCAAGCATAAGGAAAGACATATGTGCAATTCGACAACAACATGGAGAGCCCTTTGGAGATTACTATGAGCGATTCACACATTTGGTTGCATCTTGTCCTAATCATCAAATTTCAGAGCATCTTTTAATATAGTATTTTTATGAAGGATTGTGTGGTACTGATCGTGTAATGCTTAATGTAGCAAGTGGAGGAGCATTCATGGACAAGACACCAACAAATGCTAAGGCATTATTAAAGAACATTGCTGGCAACACATAACAATTTGGAGAGAGAGATGAGCTACCTCTTAAGAAAGTTAACGAGGTAAGTGCTAACTCTAGTATTGAATTACAATTAGCTAACTTGACTAATCTTGTGCAACAAGTTATGGTGGCTCCAAAACAAGTATGCAGTGTATGTTCAATGATGGGACATGCCACAGATATGTGCCTTTCGTTGATGGATCAAGGTGGTCTTAAGCAAGCTAATGCGTTATCAGGGTTTCAGGGGCAACAAAGGCAAAAGTATGATCCATACTCCAACAACTATAATGCGGGCTGGCGTGATATTCCACACTTAAAGTGGAACAATCAAGACTATGGACAATAATATATTCCTAACAACTATAATCGTCCACCTGACTGACCGCAGACACCATTTCAGCCTCATCAACAAGAAGCTCCAAGTAAGTCTCTTGAGGATTTAATTGCTTCTTTAGCTAACTCTACTCAATCTCATCAACATAAAACAGACAAAGCAATTGTGGTTTAAAATTGTGGTAAGAATAGCATTACTCTAAATTTGGAGACTAAATTTACAAACTAAATGATGTGTCTCCAATAGAAATGAGCGCATTTATCAACACTTCAGTAATAAATCAATCATATACCTTTCATGTCCTTTAGTTTCCAAAATTTATTCTCTAAATTTAGTCTTTCTAACATTACCCTTTTCTTGCAAACTAAATTCCCTATACATACAGTATCAGACTGAAAGTTAATCTTAACTAAAACAAACATGATATTTTCATCAATTAAAAAAAAAAACAACCTTTGCAGGTATAAAAATAAAATATGTACGCATAAAATTAAAAGATAAAACAATAGGTACTTATGGGAAATTTGAATGGAAGTTAACAAAGGTGGTGCTTTAGCATTACAACAAGAGTCTGAGTGGTAATGTACATATTTGTGTGCAGGGAGAGGGAACCAGATTTCTAATTGAATGTTAAAGATCTAGATATACAAGCATGGTAATTAGTGCACACATGCCTTAAAAGGCATAGACTGAGTAATCGTTATACGATTAACCGGAATATCTAATTGCAAGCTTAACATAAATAAAATGAAAGATAATATTTTATTCATTATTCTTAAGAATTTTTACATTAACAATAAAAGAAATAGTCAACAATTAACTGGCCAAGCTAGCACATCAAAAGGTGATAACTAGCTAGCCCTTATTATCCTTGCACACATACATAAATTCATATAGCCTTATTTTATCTTCGTAATGTCGACCGAATATAAGTTCATTATCTGCTGATCAGTAATTAATCTTCGATCACGCATAGCTGCACATGCCATACGCACATGAACTGCCTTTCTTGCACCTATTGTTGCAGCCGCCACAGTTTTTCCTGTCAGACCTTGGATTCACACACTTGCCTTTGCAGCATATCTCCGCGTACTTGCATTTTTTCCCACACTTGCCACAGTTTACTCTGTCTGTGTTCGTGTTTACACATTTCTTCTTGCAGCAATCTGGGCCTCCGCTGCCCGAGAGCCGACAAACCCTAGGTTTTTTGTCGCATGTCATCACTGCAGCCCGAGAAGCAAGGAAGCGGCTTGTTCCCCTCAGAGAAGTGCTTTTTTCTAATTGGCTTTTGGTTTCATCGTTAGGATCATTGTTTTCCTCTTCGAAGAATGATTCTTCTTGGCCTGGGATTGCGGATAGAGTACTAACGGTTAAAGTCAGTAGCATGGCAAAAACAAGCAAAACCTTGAAGGCTTTCATGATGTAAGTTTAATTTGTTGGTGAAGCGGAGAGATTTCAAAAGGGAAAAGTTGATGAAGGAACGTATAGGATGTTTTTTTTTTAGATGGATAAGCGTATGGGTTTGTAGAAGTATTTATAGAGAAAAATTGATCAGTGGGGGCTAGTTGATAGAGGTCAACGAGTTCGATATTATTTGAAAACCAGGGCTGCATGTATTAGTTAATTAACTTGTATAATTTGAGAGTTCATGATGTCCTTAATGCGTTGGTCTAATTCAAAGGGCTATAAACAAAACGTTTTAAGTAAACAAAGTTAGGCTTCCAAAGAAACATTATACTCGAAATTAGGTCAGTATGAACTTATACATGAACGAAGAAAGGAAACTAAGTCACTGAGTTTGCTCATAGGCTGACGGTTAATTCATCACACTCATGATGAATCATTAGATTTATAATTTGCTTGGGTTAATTCATCATACTCATGCATGCATTGATGCATGTATTTATGTTGGCAATTACATGCGAGCTCAAGCGCCCGCCCTATGGTTTCTCAAGGGTCCAAGAAACCAAAATTAGTCCATTCTCCAAACGAGGAAACCGTTACAGACGCACTTCCACTTGTGGAGCCTTATATATTGACCCCCTTTTTTTTTTTTTTCTTCTGTTGATACTTCTGAAATCATATAAGCAACAGGTAATGTTAAGGAGATCATCTATTTATGTTATATCTTGTAAATCATATGACATTGTTGTTAATGGTTAAATCATTATTTAAATGTTGAATAACGTGCTTATTTTTAATTGATGACACATTACATGCATGTTTTGAAGAAGGTTAGCATATACTTAGCACAACTCATAAGCAACCAAATATATGTATTAAGAAGCTTCAAGGAAGGTGACCATCAGGGCCTGTTAGATTAGAATTCTTAACTCTGGAATTTTTTTTCATAGTTACTATTTCTTGTATATAGCAAGTAGTAACCAATTGTAATTAGTATAAGATTCAATTAAAAAAAATTGTTATAGACTGTATATATGTTGTACTATTATGCATCGATCAAAATAAGAAGTCACCAATTCATTTCCATAGATTTGGCTCTCGCAAAAAATATAAGTATATGCAAATTTTTAATGACTATATATATACACGTGTGTGTCTTCATTATATGATAGGGCAATGTTTACTTTGTTTTGTGCATTTGTCCTTAATTATTTTCGTAAAATTACAATATATGTAACTTTTAAAAATTTGCTCCTTTAATCCACTTTTAGAGTTATGCCTACATGTGATTAATTTGAACTAAATCTTACAAGATAAAATTCCAAACTAATATGGGTCAGTGATTTCTAAACCTCAAAGGATCAAGGACTAACAAATGATGAAACGAAATATGTCAGATTACTTTATTTGGGATTAATTCAGAATAGTACTAGTATGAAAGATTGCTCATGGACCAGGACTAGTATGCGTGGGATAGTGAACGTTACATGGACACACACATCAGAATTTTGGCAGAAAAATGCATAGATAATTGGTAATGGTCTTAGAATAGGAGGCATATTGTCTGCCCTCCTGATATGGTGTCCTCCTTATGCCTTTTTATTTTATGCAGTCACGGTTAAGCCACATTAAGATTTTATGTTGATTTTTTTTATAGAGATAATAAGACAAAAAAACAATGGGAATATAAAATGTTGACATGACTTAACTGTGACCGCACAAATAAGAGGGCACCATATCAAGAGGGCAGAATCTGCCTCCCTTAGAATAATATAATTCTTCAAGCTCATTGCATTTTTTATCAACTATTTAATGGGTAGAAATTTCAGAGGATACCCTCTTGACAAGAGGGATTCCTATTTAAAAAAAAAAAAATAGGAACATCCTCTTGACCGTTATATTTGATTTTAATAAAATTATGTGGTTGAGATTGTGTGGTCTGTAATTTAATCTCAACCACAGAATTTCATTAAAGTCAAATCTAACAGTTAATAGAATGTCTCCATTTTTTTTTGAAAAATGAGGATCTCTCTTGTTAAAGGGCCTACATACACACACACACATACTAGAAAATCCCTTCTCTTTTTGGTTACATAAGATTGTTATGTAAGCTGTCATAATGTGACAGGATAAATGTATAGCAGTAGTATACTGTGAACTAATCATGCATAATGGCACATCCCATAAACACAGAAGTCTCCCTTCTTGCACTCCTGATTGCACCCACCACAATGCCTCTTGTCAAACGATGCATTGACGCACTTACCCCTGCAACAAATCTCAGTATACCTGCATCTGTAGCTGCAAATCCCACAGTTGTACCGATCAGTCTTCACGTCAACACATTTCTTCTTGCAGCAGTCTGGCCCCAGGCTGTTCTTCGCACGACAAATCCTAGGAAAGTTGTCGCAAGTATAACTGGGCAGTGGGATATTTTTATGATGATTATAAAGAAAACGGCTCACTCCTCTTAAAGAAGTAGTTGCTTCAGCTTCATCTGGTGTGTCAGGCAATGTAGTTGCTTCTGCTACAGTACTAGTCTGCATTTCCACGTCTTCGATATGATCGTCGTGAAAATTTGCAGCTCCAACAATGGCCATTGCTGCTAGGAGAGTAAAGAAGATGTTAATCAATTCATGGCCGTGACTAAATATTATCTGAAAGTTATGAAATATTTGTAAGGAAAGATGTTTTTGAAGAAGAAGAGTGTAGACTTATTGTAGGGTGTCAATTGAGCGTGTGGGTTTTATAGAACACAAGGAAAATGATCATTTTTCGTATAGTGTACAGTCAGTTTTCTTTAGGTACTATTTATATATATAATTTTAAATTTTAAATTTTTAAATAATTTTTTACCGTATAATATACGATGAATGATCACGATAATGAAATTCATAAGATTTCCAAAAAATGGATCCGGTGAGTATCCATTTCCGAAACATAGGGAGGAGAGAGTTGACAATTGGAAACTGCATGTACAAGTCTTGCTTTATTTGTGTGGCTTAAAATGATGATGGTCTAAATTCCATAGGCTACTTGTATTTTATAAATGACTAAATATCTTATATGTACAGAAATCATTTGATTGACAAGAAAGAAAAGTTGTCCTCCCTGTGATTCTGATTCTGTATCCCATCATAAAGTTTAAGATACAAAAGTTCAAATAAAGAAATATGCAAAAATTATGCTTTTCCTCACTTTCACAGCTATGATAAATTTATGTAATATTTAATTTCACCCCATTATGAAACTTAATTGCAACTCCAGTCCAAATTTTAAGGCTGGTCCAAAGCTTAATAAATAGGCCGGCACCATGTAAAATCCCTCCAGCCGAGCAAAATAGGCCAGTTCATAGCTCAAGCCAGCATGTAAGTCGGCCCAAAATGCGCTGAGGGATGTACCGACCTATGTAATGTCATGCTGGTGTCAGCATGACGTCAACGAAGCCAACATTTTTATTTTATTTTTTGCTTTAGGACGTGGGAAACATGCCGGTGCGGGCCCACATCCTAGATAGAAAATAGACGGAGCGGCCTACTGTCTAAGGTGCACTAAAAGGGCTCGAAGATGGGCCATGTGGCGCGTCTTCGTCAAACGGCTAGTTTTCTGAACCATTGGACTTCCAACGGTCAAAAAATTTTGAAATTCAAACCCAACGGTTAGTGACGTGGCAATATATGGGCCGTCCGATTCCTAGATCAATGGTCCACGATTTTCGGCCAAAAACCATAAAAAAAAATGTCAGAATTATTACCGTTGGCCACATGTTGGGCTGTTGGATTTCAATCTTTTTCAAATCTAACGGTCCAGATTAATTAATAAAAATTATTAAAAGTTGTTGAAAAATACAGAAAAGAAAACAATTTTTTTTTCTATAAATACCTAACCATCATCTTCCACATTACATTACATTTCAATATTCTCAACACTTTGAACCAAAGCCTTCATATACTTTTGTGTGCAAAAAATGGCAATTTGGACGGTCATCGAAGATATTATGTTGTGTGAATGCTAGATTCAAATTACTCACTACTAGAAAATATTATTTTGCCGACAAATTTTAGACCGACAAAGCAAACATTTTGTCGGCACAAGAGTTCTTTCCCAACGAAAATTTTAATTTATCAGCTCATAGTAGTTGAACTTATGCAGACTATAAATTTATTGGCGTAGAATATTTGTACTTACGAATAAAATGACAGTCGCAAAAGCATGCAAGTTTGTCATCTCTCACAATTATAAGAAGGGTTTGGACTAAATCATTCTCGCGCCTTTTCGTTTTTGGTATTTTGATTCACCTGCTTCTTATTTTTTCGATAAATTCACCCTTAGTTCTATAACCGCTGTATTTTTTTGGTAAAATAAAAAGAGAAAACATTGTATTTTCATTCAACCTTAATATTGTGGATAGACTAACCCTTTCCCTTCTCTCCTTCGAAACGCTCTGCTCTCCGGCGATCTCGTTCCATCTGCTCATCATCGCTCCATATGCTCATCATCGCTCCATATGCTCATCATCGCCGTCGATTTACTTACTCGTGTCACCATCGATTCGTCTACTCGCATCACCGTCACTCCGTTTGCTCTTCGTCAGCTGCTTCGTCTGCTCTCTGTCACTGTCGAAGTGCCCGGCCATTCTAGCTCCAAAATCTCCAACGCAGAGTGTTTCTTTGCATTTCGTTCTCTAAAACCTTGGGTATGTTCTCAATCTCTATATACCCTATCTTTCCCCTTAGTTTTTTGTTTAGTTTCTGCTTTATGGTGCTTTTCTTAGTTTCGTTTGACCACTGTAATTTTGAGGGATTTTAGGTAGTGAATTTGGTAGAGAATCTCATTTAGGTTTGTAGTTTGTTCCAGGTTGCCTGGGTTTAAGGATGATTAATCCACTTTCTAATTTTTTTTTACTTTTAACTTTGATTTCTGGGAAACTGCAATCAAAATGCAGTTATGGTTATATATTCAGAATCGATTATGAGTGTTTGCACCACCTCAATCAATTCATCTGTGTAACCAATTGAATTTAGGGTCAGCTTTAACTAAAAGCTTGTATCATATTATGTACGAGTAACAGTTCTGAGAAGATCAGCTTAAACACTTTCCCCTAATTATAACAGTAGAGCAATTTTTTTAGGCATTACTGCAAGAAGAGTTCATCTTCTCTTGATTTACTTACGTTTTGAAACGTTACATTATGGTGCCTATAAAACTTATTTTTGTATTGTTGGAGTAACTGTTCAACTTGATAAATGTTTCAATTTTGCATGTGTAGCTACTTTTGCTTCATTAATTAGTAGTTAGTAATTATTACACTTGTGGTTAACTTCTGTAATTTCCACTTTCCAGTAATATGTATGTTGGTTAGCAGGAAAAGTTTTATCCATACTCGGTGTTTTTGAATGGAAACATAATATTCCTAGGATCATGTATTTGTTATTAGACCATAACTTGTGGATACTAGCTAGGGTGTTTTGACAGATATGATTGTGAAGTTTTATGGTATTCGATATTATGTTAAATAGTTAAGGTGTGCTTTCAGAATCCTGGTTAAAGGTTTTGTACTTGATTGAAGACATCATGCTAGTTTTCAAGTTTTCTTATATGGTTACTCGGTAATTGACAAGTGAATTTTCACTCGAGGCCACTTTTAGGACTTTAATTAGTGAAATTTACATGTTTTACTACTGGTGTACTGATTTTAGTGGTAATCTTAATTTAAATTATTGGTTGTGAATCTTGTGATTCAAGTGAAGTACTCTTGGTTGATGAATTCTTCCTTATTGGTATGGCTCCAACAAATTTCTTTGCATCAATTTCTAGATATGGCTTCAACAAATTTCTTTGCATCAATTTCTAGATATACATGAGAGGAGAACTTCTGCATGTTTTTTCTGGCCAGAATCTGAGACCCTTTTGGCATGTGCTGCTTCCTTTTCCTATGCTATAGTTTCAGGTGATGTTGGATCATTCAAAGTGTTGTTTGCAAAATCTATGTAATTCAGTTTGCAAGATAGTTTTCTTTGTGTAACGCAAGTGGTGCAATCATGCAATTCCCTTATATTTCTAATTCCTTTGTTTTTCTTGGTAGATCTAACCTGCTACGTTTGCCCATGTCTAGCAATTATGAGTTGCAAAGCTGGTTCACATATTCCATGCCTCTTTTATTTCTATGTACAACTGGATTTTGGGTATCCGTTATTGCAGCATTAAGTTTAGATTGCTTCATTTACAAATTGCTGGAATTGCATGCTATGGTGCTAGCTTTATTGAATGAAGGGTTATCATTTTTTGATGCAATTCTTATTTTTCCTATGTTTTAGATTGCTTGGACATTCATTTCCATTTGTACAAGATTTGTATAGTTTTAAGAATTCCAGGATTTGTATATATTCACATTCAGCCTCTAAATGTACCTTCAAAATTTATCAATCAATGAATTATTATTTCTTAACAATTTTGTGTATTGTATTTTGATACATATATAGTTGCTGAGCATTAAAACATTTATTATTATTATTTTTAGAAATTAAATATCCTTCCCGACAAAACAAATTTTGTTGGGAGAGAGAAGACTATGCCGATGAAATATTCATGATGACGAACACATTTTGTTGGCTAAATAATACTATTTTTCGGCTTAAAAGCCCTGTACCGACGAGAATACTTGTCAGGAACAATGAAAATGCCGACAAAAAAGAGTTTGTTGGGAAAACTTGAACCTTACCGATGAAGTATCAAAATTCGTCAAGAAAACTCTTACACGACAAAATGGCCGACAAATTTTTTCGTCGGAAAAGGATCTTTGTGGACAAATTTTGATTTTTGCCGACAAACAAATTTTTTCGGCAAACTCAAAGTTCCTAGTAGTGAAATGTGGGGTTTCATTCAAGCAGGCATAATATTTCCCGTCAAGTTAGTAATATCTTAGTTTCCTTTTATAGAAGACCTCCTGTTCTCTTCCATCTTTTATGTTGGTTAAAGTTAGTTTGTACCAAATCAAATATTTGTAGCCAAATGAGACTTCGCTGCTTTAATCTAATTTACTCTACAACTGCGTATAAGCTAGGATATTATAGCTAGTAAATAATTGGATTGCTTACTTTTGACATAATATAGAATATTCATCAAAAAATATAAACTCACTTGAATTTAATTAGAAAACATATGGAACGAGAGCCTTGAGATTATTGGGAAAATGATATTTAAACTTGGAACGATACCAATTCCTGGTAGCATAGCTTCTTCCGGCCAAGTAGAGGGCGGTTCCAGCGGTAAAGGAAAAGGAGTAGAGAGTCTGAGAAATGAAAGATATCCCAAGAAATGTTGTGATTTCAAAGAGATAGTGAGGGCATATAACAAGCTCAAACAAACCACCCTTGGGAATCTTGTACTCCTTCTCTTCACCTGGCTTCGCCCTCATCTCCGAAAGAAGGTAGTGATGGTACAAGTTGCCAGAAATTCCTATTACAAACAAGACAATGCCGGCGCTCTTCATATCAATTGCTGGCTCTGGAAACCCTAGCCCTTGGCTGCTTAGGTATTGACCATAAATCATGCTTCCGGTCGACAACAAATAACTCAGACAGATCGGAACTGCTGTATCAACGCCCATTCCTCCACTATACTTGTGAACAAATTGAACCTATACATGTACATGCAGATACATATGTTATATATATATAGGTACGTATATACACACACAAACATTACGTATGTACGTACCTCAAGAATCCTTTTGAGAAAATGAAGGGTTAGAGCGTAAGAAAGCAATAGAGATCTGATATCGTTATGGGGAAAAAACAGCAAGGATGTGAGAGCAGTGACAAAGGCAGGAGTATAAGCGACGAGCATGCCTGTTCTACCGGACAATGTTACTACTTGTCGTTGTTGCTTTTCTGAATTTGGTGCAGTTTTTTCAGGATTATTGAAATTCCAGAACTTGGAATACTGCATGTGCTTTCCTCTAATCTCTGAAATCCCAGCATTTGCTAATGACGTGAAGCTAATCACTGACATTGCTGTCATGAATATAGAAGGAGGTGGTGGGAAAATCAACGTCGAGATTATCGACATACTACTCGTCACCATCATTAATCCTAATAAAACTCCCTTACTAGAACAATTAATGGTGGATTAGAAGACAATTTCTAGCTATTTAATCAGTCTTAATTTGTTCTAAATTACTCTCTGTGTATATATATCTAGTGGGTGGCTAAATGGTTTTTTGTTTTTGTTTCTGGGTGTTTTTTTTTTTTTTTTTTTGTTTGTTTGTTTGTGCGTAGAATGGCTGGCTGGTTTGGCTACAGGCTAAGTAAACAGGAACCACAATCCAAACCAGTAAATGAAATTAAAGGCCTTCCAGGCCACAAGTTTTCCGGCCAAGCATTAAATCCGGCTCCTTTGGAAGTTTGATTGGCTATTATAACCCATGAACATGCGATGTTTAGGTGGACCACGTTGCACAGTGCCTGCTCCCTCATCACCCCTTGTTTCATTCTCCTTATCTTTTTTCCCCAAAAAAACAAAGAAAAATGCTCGGCGGATGCCGAAATCAAGCTAAGATGACTGACACTTCGAGAGTGACGTAGCCATAATAAGTATGACTACGTAGTAGTACCTAAAATTTAAACGAAATCTACTGAAAATATGACTATGCAAAAAAAAATAAGAGTTAAAAAAATCATCAATCTTTATGAGCATACTAATTTCTTATTGAAAAACCCATATAGTGTAAAAATGCATATAAATAAAGTAAAATTCACAGTTAGGGCAAATGAAGTGGATGGCACTACTTAGTACTTTTGCTTCTGCTCGTACTCCAGTTTGCTCCGAACCTCTTGCATGCGTGTGTAATAAAGGCTGCAACTCTCTGAGGACTTTTTCTTTAATTCCAGTTGACTTTTGATCTTTGATTTATCATCGTGCATGTTAAAACTGCGTAGCAATTCATCCTCAAAACATTTTGTGGTTGATTCACACGACTTAGTGCTTATTATCTAAACCATCTAAATTTTAGATCATTTTGTAAAAATTTTTAACACATGATCTCTAGATAGTGATATATAATATTAACAGGTCATACCACATACATGAAGTTCTGTAAATCGACCACGAATTATATTTAAGAGGAATTCATCCACAATTTTGTTCAACCATGTATTGATCCAAAACGTTTAAGAATCATTTTGGTGACTTAATTTTACAATACATCAGTATTCTTCTTCATTAGTTGGTGAAAAATCTTCAATTTGAATATCGTATTTATAAGCATGCTACAAATTTTTCCATCACCCTTTTGTGTAAATACATCGTTGTGTTATAAAAAAAAGACATTTCAACTCACAACCGTGAGTTAAAATCCGATGCTGGTATGGAAGCCAGACTTGTGACCAGGAGAAAGCTGAAATACCTCTATAAGTCTTTCTGGTCACCGAAAAGGATGAATAACCGTGGCTTGACATTAGTTGTATCCCTTTTTATGAAAACAAACTCATAAGAGTTGCCAGTGTCACCCTCATGTCTTATTTCCCCATCCATCTTCGTACCAATTTCAATCAAATCCAGTCAAGAATTGGCAAAAACAAACTGGTTAGGGGCAAATGTACCTGCAGCTAATTAATTTCACACTCCAAAACAACTTACAAAATAAATAGAGAACATCCACAGGAAGCTGAAGATCCAATATTATACAGAGCTTCCATCATGCATGCATGCAAAAAGATCAACATACTAGAACTGGACAATCAAACTGCATTTTTAAACATGCAAACCTATACCCTCTATACATTGCCCGCCCCAAAAATCTTATATACGGAATTACAAGGATTAAAACGAGACGCGTCCTACGTCACACCTCAAAGACAGTTGCCTTCAACAATTCAGAAACATCAAGGATACACATCGTTTAGGCTAAAGAATTTTATGCCCCGTAAGATCAATAACTACTGCCAAATGAAAGAAAAGCTTCCTTTGTTCTTCTCGGACTCTTCACAAGACTCGGCATATGTATATAACGTTGAATCTGTGAAAGGAGCTGACAAAGTCATCACCATTCTTTTTAGTTGTAGATTTTCACTGGCTTCTCAAAGGTGTGACGATTCTGCATAATTCAAGCATAGTCCGCACAGGATTAAGAAAAACTGATTATCCGGGTTGGGCCTCTAAAGAACATAAAAAGATGCAATGTTTTCTGCATCCCTGTGCCTGATAGCTACCTCCTGTACAAACTAGTCCAAATTTCTACCGAGAATAATTGTAAAGACAATTGAGAACGATCCTGGATTGGCCTCAACCGTATAAAATATACCTGATTTGTTGTGTGTGACCTTTTAGGAGCATGATCGGCGTGTTCCAATCCAAGGTACTGTTCCCATGCTCCATACACATCCCTTCTCTGAAAAAAGATATTGAAGAATGCAATTCAGATTCCCATAGAAATTAGACTCATGACAGTGTATGTGTGAGCGTGTGGGTGCACAGAGAGAGAGAGAGAGAGAGAGAGAGAGAGAGAGAGAGAGAGACCTGAAATCGGCTGGCCACAATATCATTGTCTTGCAGGTACTCAGGACGACCCATGGACAAAAATGCAAATTTCCACTGAGCCAAACCAAAAACATATGATATATTACAATTCAAAGTAAAGCTTATGGTAATTCACGAATGTGCACTACTCTGAAACTGCTGTAATGAAGCAAATACCTTTGAATACTCCTCATCTGGGACTAGTAACTTTTTCTGTACACGCACTTTAACTTCTGCTAATGTCTCATCCTCACGAATGACCAAGAAAAATGGTTCTCCGAAATTCTGAACCTGACAAATTCAAAATTTTATAATTACAAAGTGGGGTGGTTGATGATGATGGCGATGATAATAAATTCTAAAAGAACATATCGATTCTGAGAAAAAAAAGAAAAACAAATAAGAAAAGCAGGAAGTAATTATATCTTCCTACCTGGTTTTGAGCTGTGTCCTTCATAAAATGATAAACATGGATCAGACGATCACGAGGACCAAAGTTTTTCTCTTCTTCAGGGATCTGAGCAACAGACAAGAATAAAGGTTTAAGAGCAGCAGTGTAAAACAAAGATTTCTTACATATAAAACAAAGCACTGGAACATAGAATAATTATGAACCCAATACTTTGCAGACTAACCTCTTCTGCACGCAATGTCCAGTACTGATCATTTATATTCTCAATCTTTTCATTTGGTGGGAAAATCTGCAAAGAGACAATTAGAAGAATTGCAGAAATGAATGCCGATTCTAAAAGGTTTCAAATTTTCAGATCGAAGAAACAACAATAGATTCCTGCAGCCGCAACAAGAGAGCAACTCCTGCTTCTGCCTAAAATAAAAAAATTACAGGCATTCATTGTGCCTTACTGATGCTTACTTCTTTACCAAACAATGTTGTTTGGAAGGGTTTAAGGGACGTAACATAAAGTTCTGTTCATAGACAACATCAACATTTATATGCATGTTATCCAATACCTTGTAGATTTTGTGATAGAAAACTTCTAACAATCTGAGTTCGGCATTAGGATGAGACAACTCCACCTGTTCCAGATAGAGGAAGGAGATACGTAAGTGTATTTCCATAATCATTTATACAACGTTCGCTGAAATATTGCCCTCAGAATAAAATAGAAACTGTACAACAACACAATTAGACTTAGAAACAAAAGTGAATAAATCCCAACCAGGAATATGACACTTTTGTTTCATATCCATTATCTACGTCCATGCTTTGTCTTAAGGTCAGAAGCAGAAGCATCAAAGTAATTACCTTTGTCTTAAGGTCATCAATCACATCCCCTACAGTGCTCTGCTTCGGTAATCTAATAGTATGAACCACAACCTGACAACATAAAAGTGCTTTTAAGAGGCAAGATTTTCACATATTAAATAATTAATGGTTCCATTGGTATCTGCACTCACTTCATCCTTGGTAGCATGATGAAAAGCAACTTTCAAAGTTTTGAGGCCTTGCAGCTCTGGGAGAGGGATATCTAATACTTCATAATAGAGTATGTCTGTAGTCTGAAAGAGGAATACAAAATTTATGTTTATATAACAGTCAACGTGGCAGGGAAAACACTTCTTAAACAGAGCTTAAAAATCTGGTATTAAACAACCTGATTGTAGTGCACCAGCATGTCAGACAAATGTTCTACTCCTCGATACTTGATTGGTTGGGGTTTAGGTTGCTGTGAGTAACAATTATGAGATGTGAGCCTAACTTTAGATGGATCATCCAAGCCAAGCTGTAGAGCAACCCTTTCCACAACATCATCATAGGTGTGAAACTTTGACCTAAAAGTATAGGAAAAGAATGCCAATAAAAAAGTTAATATTAAACTATTTAGACTGATTCACCCAACTTCCAGAAGAATACAAAAAATGATACTGCAAACTTACAACTCAAGACAGAACTCATCTTCCTTTGGCTTGTCCAAAGAACGAAAGCGAACAACCTGTCGGTTGTCATGGAATGTCACAATACAATAACAAAAGAAAAATTATTGACCCCCACACCCAAGGGCCCCAACACACACACAAACCCCTCTTCTGGAACTTCCCATTATCATTTGAAATTCAACTTGAACTTGCCAATGCAATGAAAGCTTCTTTTTACAAGCAAGAAAAATGACTTAAACGCACACCCTCAAGTGCACATGCGCAAATATGCAAGAAAATCAAAATTGTAAAGATAAAAAGTGGTATAGTATGCATGTCGATTGTTAATAACCCACAACTCCCCTTATTGGGATAGACGATGCCTAATAACTGGGCATATAATAATTACTAGTCCCAGCACTAAAACCTTTCCACATTTATGGACTAATAGGCAGACAATATGAAACAACAAATAAGCAAGAGACCCTATTGCTTATCTGGTTTTGGTCCCCGGGTTGCAGGAGCAAAAATCTTCCACCATACAAATAATGGAACTACCAGACATTGATCACATGATAGCACTAAGGATACCAAACACACTCGACGGTTACAAAACAAAACAACAGAGTCATCATTTAACTCTCCTATGCATGGACGATGGACTTACTTTCCATTCATTAGCAGACACTCTGTGTCTCCCGCAGTTATGTATAAACTAGTGGATGATGAGAAAAGAAGGATTAGGGGGTTTATTTAGTTTTTAGAACTTTATATAAAGGTGACAACATTGTACCCAAAGACATATCAAGCGCATTTCCACATTTAGAGGTACATCCCGTGATGTTGGTTCATCCCCATTCAAAATAATGCAGCACGTACTCGTCAAAACAATTCATGCTTCTGTTTATTCCGTTAAAATATCATCCTCCACTTGAGGGGGGAATCACAACATCCTTCATCTCTTTGCCATTCATTTGCAGCAAAAGGATTTGTTTCTCTATAATCTTGCAAACAATTATACATTCAGGTATGTTTGGTTGGTTGGAATGCTATGGTAATAATATATTTATATCACATCTCACGCTTACCAAAATAATTTGCAGAAAATAAATAGGACTTTGCAGCAGTAAACAGAAAATCACTAAAAAGTTCTCTAAAACAATTCTCAGGAGCTACGAAGGAAGGCCAATTTTGATAACCATTTGGTTGAAACCACGTTTTATAGTGCTCAACTTCAGATCTGCATCTGCATAAATTAAAGTAACTTCTTACCAATGACCAAAAAAATAGTTTGACTTCTAACAAGTTTCTCTGCACTACTCTGATAAAGAAAGGTTTGTAGAAATTTCTTTTTCCGCTTAAAACAGTATAGTTGTCAAGTGATAAAGGATCATCAGATGGGACTTTGCATCCCAAAGCTGGATGGAATAAAAATACCAACCCACCCTTGGTGTATCTAATGCGCTCAGCAGGCAGAACTGACTTCTGTCAATTCCTTGTGCTTATATCCTTTTCGAGAACTAAAGAGTTAACCAAACATGAAGACCTGATATAATGGAAAATTAACTCCCTGATCTGGATTCCAACCAAACAGACATAGCCTTAGAGAAATACTAAATCATCCAAGCTTTGACTAGTTGTCAATGATCACCAATCTCCCTAGTTTTCATTGTTAGAAGTCTTTTCTTATTCTGAATAATAGACTATAGAAGATTGACCCATTGGGCAGGGAAACTAAAATATTGAGACTCCAACATGGAGTTAAAAGTTTGGGAGATTCTGAGCTTTGAAAAGAAAAATGAAAATATACCTGACGGTTACGAACATAATCCAGGAATGAAGGAACATCTGGGTAACGAAATTGTTCGCTGCTTCCACTCTGAGGGGATTTTTGAAAGCAAATGATGTCCCCATCTTCAAGCTGAAAGAACAAAAAGGTTGCATAAGGGAATAATATCATAAAGATATTCAAAATTAAAAATCATAGTTTGAATATTTATTGAAGACCGGTTTATAATTATTAATACGTAATACACCAAACCCCAAATACAAGAGGAGGGGAAGCAGGGCGGTAAGAGAGTAATATAGCATAGATATAAGACAATAGCTTTGTATATACCTGAGCACAAATTTACATATGAAAACAGTACAAATTAGTCTTTGAAATTCATACCTGACTAACACGGAAAGTTGCCTTCTCATCAATGTGTTCGCACATGATATTAGGTTCAAACTTTATTTCCTGACAACAAAAAAGATGGATATAAAAGCCTTTAGACTTTCTTTTCAAAGAAAACTATGTGCCATAGACTCTCATAAGTGATGTGATCAGAGTTAAGCAGGTTAGGTGGCACCTATTATACAACACAATTGACACAATTCACATGACTTCTCTTCAAAAAGAATCCATGTGACTTACCTCAAAAAATTCTATCTTTTCATCAGGACTGAAACCAGCCATTTGGTTTAGTTTTGTCAATAATTCAATGGGCTTACCACTTCCCTTCACAAACAACCTCCCAACGTACCTGGTTTTGAGAAGGAAACCTAAGTAATCAAATGTAATTTCAACTTTGATGGAAGAAATAAGAAACATACCGGAGCTCTTCTTTCAAAGGGTCATAAAGTTTGAAAAATAGAAGAATCTCTTCTTTAGTCTTCTCTGGAGGAGAAAGAGGCAACAAATCCTGAATATGATATATAGAACAACGGGTGAACACCACTATTGAAATAAGATGATCAAAGCTTGTCAAAGAATCACACAACTTATTGGGGAAAACATGAAACAAATTTAGAAGGTCACATTACCGGCCCAAGTTCTACTTCAAGAAACAGCTTTAGCTCTGCATTATTTGACTTATTGGAAACTTCCCTCAACTGTCCAACCTGCAAATACCATACTTTGACAGATGAGCAAAATATATTAAGCCACTGAAGTGCCAACTTTTTTGTGAGCGCATCTTATATCTAGTTTCTCATAAGCTAAAAAGGTGCTTCTTCAAGGTACATTTTTTTTCATGTGGTTTGGCATCACTTGACATATGTATTTTTTAGCAGAAGCTAAGGAGCATCTTTTTGGAGAAGCTCCTACAATCCTATCTATATCTTCTCTGCTTCGAAATAGCTTTTGTTGAAAGCAGTATAGCTTCTTCTTCAGAACCTCTCAAAGAATCTCTACTGATGGTAATGAAGATTTCAACTGTAAATTACCTAAATGAATTTCTACAAACCCCAAAAATATTTATAAGTCATGAAAAGAGGAATGGAAAATGTTTCATTACATTTACACACAACGTAAGAACCATGAACTAACCATAAAGTCATAGAACATGTAACAACATCAATGACATAACAGGTATCAAGCTAAAGGAACTTACCGTTTGTGCTTCCTCAAGAGGTGTCAGTGGTCGATTTGGCCGGTATGTATGGTTTTGACGCTTTGCCCACAACCAGAAACGTTGACATTGAACTGGTATACCAAACTCTTTGGCAACCTCTTCCTGAGGGTGGACTTCAATTAGATTGATACTGATCTTTTGGATCCGGCAACTAGAATATTACATATAGACTACAGCTTCATCATAAGTTTATCTAACGACATTTACTTGGTTAGAATGATTCTAATCATTTGGATCCGGTAACTACAATATTACATATAGGCTCTAGCTTCATCATAAGTTTAATTTCTTTTACTTAATTAAGCTCAATATAAAACTATGAAAATAAGCGAAGACCACATTGATAATTTTCAGTATGGAAATTAGCAATACCATGGAATAAATGGAGCACAGTGCACACCGAAAACTGAAAATGTCAATCATTTCAATACAATAAAGTTAAAAGAGTAAAGACGCTACCTTAAAGAGGTTGAAGGGCCTCTGCTTCTGAACACGAAAACTACGAACTTTATCATGATCCACAAGATCAAAATAGATATTCTTTCCTATCTGTTCAAGCAGGTCCTCGTTCCGCGCAACCTAGGAAACCCATAAGAAAATCTGAATTAAATAATGTTCCACAAATAAAAATTTACATAGCTCAAACAAAAAGAGACAGAAGGCAGAAAAGAAAGGGACGAGGGGAAAGAGAAGAAATGGAGAGGTTGTAAATATTGTAACCTTTATGATAGTATAAAGGTGCGCTTCAGCTTTCTCCTTTCTCTTTTGCTCCTTTTCTTCCTGTTCTTTCTTCAGTCTTATCTGGAATATGGTGTTCAAAGAACACAGTAACACGGCATGACTTAGCAGCAAGACAAAATAAAATTAAGAATATTAAAAGTCCAAGTCAAACAATCTGTCTTACCCTTAGATGTTCTGCAATGTCTTTCTCATCCACATTACAAATTATTTTCTCCTTGTCAACTTCACGTATATAAACAAGCATGTAGGCATTGGAATATTTAGTAAATTTAAATGGAGCATTGTTGAACCCAGGATTTGTCTGCGGTAACTGTAAAATGCAAACAGTGAAACATAGAGTACATCAGAACAAACGGAGGAAGTAGAGATAACAAACGTGAAAATAACCAAAGACTTTTACCTCTTCTTCTCCACCATACTGCTCCTCTAGAGCCCTCTTCATATCTTCTTTTGTTACTCGTTCATCTTCAAATTTAAACCTGAAAGCAACGAGTTGTGGGGGATTTTAAATTTGTTAAACTGAACAGGACAAGTCATGGTATGCAATAATAACTCACTGTTGATTCTCAATGGTAAAGATCAAACTAGTTAAGCACTTTCTTAAAAGCACATGCATGTACACTTCCAAAATTGCACAATACCTTACCAGTTACTAACTTAATAATAGGATGTAATTTTAAGGGAGAAAAAAAAAAATAGAAGTAGATTGTTTTCCTAAGTTATCGTACATCCAAAATTCTGACAGACATGATTTGTCACTAGAATCTTTTTTCAATTAATTCAATTCAAATGCTAAAAGAAGAACGGATGAGTGTTGCGAAATTCTAGAATGGACAAAGATTATATAGCCTTTGTATCCAAGGAGAGGATCAACATCTAACATTATTCAGCCAAGTCAGTGTCATTGGTGCAAACTTATTGCTTTCTTTCCCAGTACTGTTGACTCCCTAGAAGTCCAGCAAGCATAAATTCATTCAAGTACAACATTAACAAATTTTGTCCAAACAAAATTTTCATTGGTTCAAACCCCAACATACTTTATCTTCATTTCAGAAGACCACCAGGGATCAAGAGCAGAAAATTCAAACCTTTGGACATCCCTCTTTGTCCCTATCTCACTTGTTCCACATTCATTTGGTCCATACTTATCTATTCTATATACATAAGTGTTTTTAAAGAGGACTAGTATCTCATTTACCACAGTTGAACAATGCCCTCCTAAACTTAAAATTGAAAAGGTCTCCCAAAACAGCTAGCTCTCTCATCAAAACTACGAGACCAATTCAACCCTTCCACCTGAAAATTCAACTTTCTTCCGGGGTAATCTAAGAAGCTACAAACTCAGGTACAATTCCTTCTTTCTCTCTCAAATCACAATGCCTTCCTCGTTGTCCAACTTATTCATCAACTTGTTCACCTTTCTACCAGAGAAACAACTTTACTTATTCTCCCACTCCTTGATCCAATCAACTTTATCCTTCTCTTTCCAAGTAAAATGAACAAGGGCATACATTTCAAAAAACTTAGTTTTCCTGATGTTGCAAATATTAAATTAAAGTAGTCCTTGAAGTACATTTTTGAGGTAATAAATTGTAAAGCTACATTATTTTGTTTACAAACCCTTAAAAGAAAAAAGAAAATCAATAAAATCAGGAAAAGCAATTCTAAACATTGTTAACTACGAAACAAACAAACAAACAAACAAAAAGAAAGCATGGCTACAAACACAAACTAAAGTCCATTACTATTAACTTCCAATTCGAGTATTTGAAAGAATATTAACCAGATATATGGTGCAGAAATTAAACTTATTATTGCAGAACGAAAAAAATGCTGATATACCACTGTTCAGAAAGGGTTGGCCTGATATAAGCATAGTAGTGTCCACCATGCACCCCGCCACTGTGCACCAAAACACTGAAAACAGACAAAAGCACACATTAACAATCTCCATGCACAGAGTCAGATACAACGGCCATGCATGTACAACTTTGTTACAATAGCAAGCACCAAAAATGAACTTAGCATAATGAACTACTAATTTTGACGCATAAAAAAATTAACCATGAACACATTGAACTTGCTATACTGCATCTGCTTTGACAAAATCTAAAGGTATGCATATAGTTCGACATTCCATCCCCATTATGCCACCGATACATGCCAATAGGTATAACTGGAGTATCAGTGGGCACTTCAGCAACTTTCAGATACGGCACTGGTAAGTGGTGGACCCATCAATGTACGATCAAGATATCTACAGGTTTATTTCGTAAATACTTGTTTAAGAGATAGGTCGAGATGTGATTCTGAAAAATTTGGGGTAAGCTTCAAGAATACCCAAAACGGATGTTGTCGTACTCACATAGCTCCTCTTTTCCTCTATGGTTCTCCACCTTTCAAAGATTGCATCCACAGAAAATGGAGCGGAAGAACGGGAGAGAAGAGGAGGGAAGAGGGGGGGGGGGGGGGGGGGGGCGGCGGACCTAAAACAAAAAACTCGCCTTACCTGCACATCACAAGACTAAGAACATGGAAATTCTATGACAAATCTTATGCCAAAATTTTTGATAATTGGAATGTAGATTAACTCTCCATCAATGTAAGTCATACAAATATGCTTAACATAATAACTTCTTCGCCCTTTTCCTTAACCAATGCAACAGGGATGGTTCATCCTATCCTGTCAAAATATTGCTTTCTACACTTATTTGAGTATGATTCTCCTAAATGACTATCATTTGCATCTTCATTTCCTCTTTTATATGACCATATATGAATGCTATTTAACCAATGGGGGCCAAACCCACGTATTTCTAATAAAAAAAAAAATCAATATTAAGGAGACAGATGTATAATCATCCCCACGAAATGCACAATATACTAAAAATAGGGTGGCCGAAAAGTATAGAAGAACTGTTGACAGCTTGGGGAGAGGTCGTGGAGATATTGCAAGATAAAGTTCCTTTTTGTTGTCTGGTGACTTTGGATTCTACATAGTTTAAGAACCACCCTGTTATTTAGCCGGAGCCAACTACTCCCCAGTATATTTGTAACTCATTAATCATAAATAAAATTTTGTTTCTCATAACAACCAAAAAAGACAGCAATGCAAACAGAATAGAAAAGACCAATACACATAAATTACAATCATTAATAAAAAAAGGTAAACTATTTTATGCTATATCTGTTTAGCCTATGATATGGTATGATTACAGAGAACTCTGTTGCAGTACATCCAGATACTCTCTCGCAAAAGCAGACACGGAAATGATACAACTCTCTCTATCAGTCTATGTCAGTCAATCTAATGAACTAACAAATTATTTACCATATAGACAACTTTTCACAACAAAGGGTATAAATAGTCTCAAACACCAATAATCTTAAATTACTAATACCTATGAAGAGTGTAGAGGTTGCGGACGCTCCTGTCAGCATCAGGTGACAGATATTTCCCATTCTCCCTATCAAGATCAAGTTGCAAGGGGAACTCAAAGCGATCATTTATCTGTTGGCAAGCAGAAGACTAAGTGATTCCAAGTAATTATGTTTAAGGAAAATTATACAAGTATGAGAAGAGAGAGAGAGAGCGCTAATAAATTACATTACCAGAGACAGCTCAATTGCGATAGTCTTAATTCTTATAGGCAAAGATAATGAAATAATAAATAAATTCTGACAAAGTTGAAAGTCCAAAATTTTAACAAAATATGGGCCTATGGCAAATGAAAGCAAATTAATATTGCTTTAGAGAGTGATTTCAAATGCACAACACAGGGTTTTAAAGCTCATTAAAAGCATAAAGTTCAAGCATTTTACCAAAATTTTATTATGAGATTACACAAGATTATAAATGCTAAAGTAGGCCTACCAAATGGGAAGAACCTAGTAGCACTATGCAATTATAAGACCAAACAGTTCCTCAATCAAACCTATGAACAGCTTCAATATTTTTGGTTTATACGTCCCAGGAAATATATAGATAGTTAGATACAGTTACAAAATATGTATGAAAAGGTTCAGTGAAGGCAGATTAATCTATCAACCACACCTTTACCATGGTGTCCCGCATAAAATCGTACTCGAAACGTTTTAGCTGAAGTTGAAGGACGGGTGGAAAATCAATGAACAGGACACCTTTCTTAGCATCCTGAAAATGTCAAACAATTGCAAAATGTTACTAAAAGCAATTTTCAAACATTCAAAATATAGCAAACTGATATAATAATACCATTATGATAAAATAACCCCCACCCCTGTCAGAAAGAAAAAATCGAACACAAGATTTTAATTTTAACATTTTACACCCTAAAGGTTTAAATTTACATCAACTTTTCATCGGGGAAAACCATTGGTTTTGTTGTTCAATTGATGATTTGGAAACTAGGAGACCCATTTTTGTGTTGATATGTGGAAGAAAAATCCTAAAAGAACAATTTTATTATTTTCTTAATATTTAAAGGAAAACTAATGAAAAGGGCTTGAAAACTTTTGAGTTTTTACGATAATGACAAAATAAAGGGTAAAGTGAATAGTATTAGGATTGAATTTTTAGTGTAAAAATGTGGCTTTTCATTAAAGTGAACAGTACTGAGAGCTTTTCGTTAAAGTTCCCGATATTTAATCCTATTATCTTTACCCCACTTTTGTCCTTTTAAGAGAAATTTTACTATTTTCTTCCCCGTCAGCAAAAATCTCATAATTGCCACCTTATATATTTAACTGCAGAACTAACAGTCTTCCCAATGGAAGGTTTAAGTTGTCGTAAACTTAAAACTTTAGGGTGTAAATTGCTAAAATTAAAACCTCATGGTCCATTTCAAAAATCACCCCCAAACACTAGGGGGTAAAATTTAGTTAATCCAAAACTAAACAAAGCATAAGAAATAAAAACATGAGTTGACTGGTGATAATCCAAGTAAAATCTCTGTTTTTTGCCAACATTCTCAAGAAAATAGATAAAACCAACAGGGAAATGTACACATATTCCAAAGAGATCTACCTGTAAACCATACTGTTCAGCATGATATTTATTATCACCCTCAAGGCGCTCCACTTCCACGTACTTATCGAATGAAGCATAAACATCCCGACACCCTTTGACATCCAATTGAAGATCTGCAAATAAACATACAGAATCTTCCATCAGACCTACAGTATTTATGTTCCATTAGTAATCTACTTCAACCTCAATCACTTACCATAAAATGATTCTTTCCTCGTTGATTTATAGTCCACATTGATGCATTCAATATAGTTCATCTGGTGCCCTTCAAATAACTGCTGTATTGTACCCTCCACAACAGTTCCCTATTCCAGTAAACAAAGTTCAGTCAAAGTAACCTCCAAAATAGATGTAGAAGAATTAAGTGCAAACAATTAAGAATGATACAGTAAGAGCTTCATACTTTCATCTTGTCTTCAAGCTTTTCAGAAAGAACCCTATTGAGTTCTTGGACGTCATGCTGCATGAATGAATCATATGCATCCCATCCAAATGACTTCGTCAGCTCTTTGGTCGCTACACTAGTATCATTGTACTGAAGCTTGTAAAATAAGCTTTGCAAGGCAAGTGGGATGCTTCCAGATGGATTATCATTCTCCGTTGTTGGCATATGGTACACAGCCTAAAAGAACAATTTGAGATATGGGGCTTTCTTGTACACAAAGTGGGATAAAGTGTATTTAGAAATTATGCTACCTTTCTAAAATAAGGAATATGGTACAGCGTCTGAAGAAGAGAGTTCATATAACAAGTAGCTCCTTGGTTTTTCAGTCCAACAAAACCAGTTTCCTTTTTAGAGTCATGTGACCAGTAATCAATAACCTTTCGAACTGCAACATCAGCTTCAACTATGCATGTATCATTCACAATATAACCTCTACTAGGGTCATATAATTCACCAAGAGGCATGAACGAAGTGAAACCCCAGTCACTCTCACGAGCATTAAATTGGTGCTGTGTTTCTGCAAAATGCAACACAAAGCAGTAACTACAAATAGTTCTAACATACATGCTATCATAAACACTCAACCTGAGACAGACAAATCAATTCAATGTCATAAAAACAAATCTTGTTCTGTGCTACCATATTAACGAATAACATTTTTTTTCTCTCTAAAACATGTATGTGAATGTTTATGAGATGTTGCGACTCCAGCTGTCATAAGAAAAACATTTCATCTACTAGAAACAGCAATATCATGTAAGAGAGGCCTTGGCTTAAACCTGAAGTAAAAGAAAAATATTGAAACATCATGTATTAGTATTTCCAACTCTTTTTCTTGTTTGGCTTATTCACCTCATCTCTGGTCAGAAAAGGTAAGAAAAGTACTCTTCACATGTTAACCGAGTATACATTTACATTTGCATCATTTTTATATTGGTAAAACCAATCCCCCAATTTCCTAACTAAAGTCTTGGAAGAACACGTAGTAAGAATCCAGTTTTATCTACTTTCACATAATCCAAACGCTACATAACTTTATTTTCTATTCAACATCTCAATGATACCAAGATGATTCTGGTCAACTCTTCCCTGTCTCAGCTTTGGAGAGAAGTTAATTTGTTCTAACTGAGCATACCTTTACATTTTGCACCATTTTTATATTGGTCAAACCAATCCCCCAGTTTCCTAGCTTAAGTATTGAAAGAACATTTAACTAAGAATTCAGTTTTATTTATTTCTCACATAATCCAACCACTACATAACTTTATTTTCTATCCAACGTCTCAATGATACAACTTTTGGAGTGAACTTTCTTCGTTCTAAGTTCAAACAAAAAGTTATTGTCCGTCTGCAACTGTGCAACATGCCAAAACAGGTGCATGTATTTTACTTTTGTGTTTATTTCACACCCCCCTTGTTAACTGGTGAGAGTTTGAAGGGCTACGAGAAGATAGACCACATGTGTTAGTAACATAAAAATCAGAGTGACATGAAATGCACATTTACTTTTGGGGAAGCTCGTGATGTGAGACAAATGAAGCTGGCTATTACACAACTTGCAAATATATGTGAAATGCCATAGCAGTTTGTGTTTTATCCCCTTATTCATAGCACTTCAACCATTAGGACATATATGAAAATTTCTAAAGGACAAATAAAGTCTAAATTTATAAAACTACTAAAACTATCATTTCTAAAAGGTACATCAGCGGCAGAGAAAGTACCTTTTCTAATAGAGTATTTACTATGAGCTTGATTGACAATAGACAAGCTAAACTGAGCATATCTACTCCATCCATAAGGCAAATTTCCAGAATCTGCAACATCCAGATACATTGACAGATGATCCACATTATTTCCTTTGGGGAAAATTAGTATCCGCCTGCAAAGCGCATTAGAAATTCAATCATGATTATAAATCATAACAAATCAAGTATCAATATCTACATGCATTCCGATCAAAGATTCAAAATTAACCACTGGTAAGAGATTTAAATACCATTTGTAGCCTCCAACAAGGAAAACATCAGAATAGAGCTTCTTCGTATTAAGCCTTGAAAAGCTCTCAATTGGCCATGTAAATCTAGCTGACAATGGATCATCCACCGTCGGAGCATCCACCGCACTGTTAGTTTCTGCTTGTGCTGCCAAACGTAATAAACCAAAAACAATTGTTTGATTGTCAAGACCAGCGGACAGAAAGAGCAAAACAAGGTAAATCTTATATCACAACTTTTTTATTATACACCCAAGAAACCACATAACTTACTCAACAAAAAAACAATCCGGTAATTTATCCAAGTTATACCTTTTCTACATATTTCTTTCTACAGAATGGTTAAATACTGCCCAAGGAGCACAATTCCAATACACACTACTGGCCTTTTTCATCTAAGTAACTTAGACAGAGAGACCGAGCTACTTGATAGCCACTCCTTGATACCGTAATCACCAACGGACCATTTTTCACCTGAGTAATAAAATTTGGCCATTCCATTCCGTATGGCTTAGCGGAAATCAATTCCGACTTCTATTAGCAGAAGTGACAAGAACAGTATGGTTAGTTACTAATAGTTTGATTTCAATTTCCTCAGTTGTCTCAGCAACCATACAATTCAGTCCCCACTGTAAATTGTAACGCATAATTATCGCAAAATAAAAATGGAAATTAGAAAAAGAAAAAAACCAAAATTACTATTGCCCTAAAAACTACTACTGTTGTGTCCAGAGGCAAAGCAAGACCTTGACATAAAACTTCACTGATTATCATTTTGCTGAAATTTTCTCGAGAAACAAACAGAAAGTAAGAAAAATAAGTAAATAAAGATAGAAAATAAACAAACAACCTTCCTCCATGGGCTGAGGACCGTCGGGCAGGTCGGAGTGTGGGACCAGCATCTCATCTTCCTCCTGCGGTTGCTGCTGCTGCTGCTGCTGCTGCAAAAACAAGGTCAATATGAGAGCTCCGATCTGCTAATTGAAACCCTAGCACAACATTCATACGCCAAAACGAAATCGTCTGGAGATCGCGTTCGAAAAGAGGGGGAGACGGGTTTAGTAATCACATCTAGCGGCGGCGGCGGAGTCATCAGGGTCATGGGCGCCGGAATTGGAGGCCGCCTGATCGAAGAATCCGAGTGACTTGTGCTTGCTGCTGACGAGAAGAGGAAGACTGAGAGATTTCGAGTCTAACTTATAATATGAAAGAGGGCTTTGCAGCTGGTTTTAGCTAGTCGAGGGATAATTTCGGAATTTTGTAAAAGGAAGGAGGAGACCAGACACAATAAAGGCAATAAATGAAACCCAATTATAGAGTACACCCTTTTTTACGAGTAAGCCTATTCACATTTTCATTTTTACTTTTTACAATCTTTTAATTTTTGTTGATTATTTCAAACAATTGAAAAAATCAAAGTTTAAAAATTAATAAGATATATGAAACATAAAGTTAAGTATGAGAATTATTTCTTCTAAAATCAATGGTTTGAACCTCCAATTTGAGTTATAACATATAATTTTGAGGGAATATTTTTCTCACCATTTTTAAGTAATGTTCACAATTTTATTTACTATTATTTTTAACATTTAAAAAAATTATTTATTATGTTAAATAAGTTTAAATTTCAAAAAATAGATACAAATTTTAATACACTATAAATATAACACAAATACATTAAATATCATGATAAAAATTGTTGAACTTTTTTTTAAATTCAACAACTTGTATTATAATAGTTGATTTTAAAAATCGTGTTGCGTCACATTGAAAAATATAGTAAAAATTTTTACTAAAAAAAAAAATATAGTAAAAATGATGGGGGAGCCGGCCACCACCAATATCATGGCTGTTGATAATTTAATTTACAGTTATGCCTTTTCCGTTGAATTGAATTAGAATTTAGGGATTTTGCAGTCGCACTGATACCAATCCAATGGCGCTGTCGCGATTTTGTTATCCCTGTTGTTCTACTCTTCCCTCCCCACCACCACCGCCATCCCCGCCGCAATCTTCGTCTGTCCCTTGTCTTGGTAGCAGCTATTCACCCTCCAAGTCCCCAGTATTTACAGGTTCTGCCCTCCTCCGCCCTCTCCGTTGGCAATCAAGCCACCGGCACCTGCGGTCTCTGACGGCGGTGAAGGTGAGGGGCAGCCTCTCTTCCGCCGCGGAAACTTCAATTTCTGGCAGAGAAGGAGAGAAGGAGCTGCTACTCGAAGTGAAGGATCTAACGGCCGTGATTGCCGAATCCAAACAGCAGATTCTCAAGGGCGTCAACCTCTCTGTCTACCAAGGGGAGGTTCATGCAATTATGGGAAAGAACGGTTCCGGGAAAAGCACTCTTGCCAAGGTCCGTATTAGTAAGGGCTCCTTTGGAAGTGTGAAAGTGTTTATGATTGAAGTGCTTTTCTAGAATTCACTTATATTTTTAATGTTTCAATACTGTTTCCAAAACACTTTCGTCAAAAGCGTTTTCAATCATTTTGAAAAGCACTCCCAAACACACTTACTTTGTCTTTCTGTCTCGAATTAGAAATTTGAAACAATTGGTAAATTAATTCGTTCATTGGTTCAGGTGCTCGCCGGGCATCCGGATTACCAAGTTACAGGAGGTAGTGTTGTGTTTAAAGGTAACAACTTGCTCGAAATGGCAGCAGAAGACCGGTCACTTGCCGGGCTTTTTATGAGTTTCCAGTCCCCAGTTGAGATCCCCGGTGTCACCAACATTGATTTTCTCAACATGGCTTACAATGCTCGCAGAAAAAAACTAGGACTGCCGGAGCTTGGACCAATTGAGGCAAGCTAGCTACGCCCATTCGTTCTTGTTTGAAGCCGCTGTTTGAGATGTCGCTGTTGTTTTACTGATTCATTCTTGTATCTTTATTTATGTCCTTGCAGTTCTATGCTTATATATTTCCCAAACTTGATCTTGTCAACATGAAGACCGACTTCCTTAATCGAAATGTTAATGAAGGCTTTAGTGGAGGTGAAAAGAAGCGCAATGAGATTTTGCAACTGGCGGTATGGTTATCATTCTTAGTTAATCTTCCTGTTTCTTTTGTAATTTTGGTCAAAACTTCATTTGTAAGAAAATGCTTGGTGTGTGTGTGTTGAATTGAACATATAGTGTAATTACAATATTTGTAGAATTATGTAAACCTGTGGGAAGTGGGTTTCTTCCCCAGAGATATAGTCTTGTAATTTCAGTAAGTTGTCGTTCCTACACATTCGTGTAAGCTTTACTGGGTACTTGTCTTTGTATTCACATGCTTCTGCTAAATGCAGGTTTTGGGAGCAGAGTTGGCTATATTGGATGAAATTGATTCTGGATTGGATGTTGATGCACTACGAGATGTAGCAAAGGCAGTCAATGGGCTTCTGACTCCGACAAATTCTGTATTGATGATTACTCATTATCTACGACTTCTGGAATTTATAAAGCCAACACGTATCCATATTATCGTAAGTCATTCAAAGATATGAAAACATACATCGACAAGAGAGGTTTTGGGTCTTGGTTCATGTATCTGTCTCATGAAATTAGAAAACAAAATGGAAAAGTAATAAGTGATGCTCTATAAATATAAGTATAACATGGTTCAGAAAAAGCATGACAAGGTAAATGAGTTTATTAGTTTCATGTGTCTGGTAGTTTATCTCGGACTGCATAAACATACGGTTTGGATTTTTGCTGTTCTATCTTCATGTTATGGCTCCTTATAAGCGAATCTGTTGAAGGTATAGCGGATAGTGCATCAGCAAATAGGGCTGTTTCATGCATTCTTCCCCAGAATTCCTGGCACTTTTGTTTTTACTTATGAGAGAACCAAGTGGGCAAGATTTGAGAGTAGAATTTTAGAAGCTCTGGATACTTGTAGAATTAATACAACCAAGATAGCTGCATCTTGCTTAGGAGATACATGAATTGGGCATAACCTTGGAGTACATCAACTCAAGGAGATTTGGAAAAAGAAGAAATATCTCTTTTGTTAATTGAATCTTTTTAGCTTTAAGAAAGCATAGAAAAAGAAAAAGGTTATATAAGTTGGCTGCTTCGACATTATACAGGATAATCAATAAATTATCATTGCGAGGAATACAGTAAGCTTTTTAAAACTGTTCCTAGATTATCTTTCAGTATTGATCTAATTATTTAATTAAATGATTTTATAGGAGGATGGGAAAATTATAAAGACAGGTGACATCTCCTTAGCAGAAGTGCTAGAGAAGGAAGGGTACAAAGCAATTTCTTGAGCATAACTTTATGAAGGGTATTGCTCTTCCTTTCTCACTCTCTTAAACCTCAAAACATCTTTTACTGCCTGGATACTAATATTGTAGGCGTGGACCATTAATTTAATTTATCTTCTCAAATAAAAGTAAATAAATAAATGTAGTGTCTTGAGTAATGCGTTTTATTATCTACAAGACTTAATTGGTCCTTCAATCACATTTATTTGCCTTTTTGCATATAATTGCTTTGGTTCATGTGGTCAATGGTATGTAAACAGAAGGGCAATTATATATGACTTGTTATTGTTTTAAGAAGGCCCTTCCCAACAGCAGAACTTTAGGTTTCTAAGTGAACTTCAGCATCCTATTTAGAATAGGAGACGACTTTCCATCTTGGTAAAAACTTGCTCCCTATGAGTTTAATAATTCATAGCAGTGTTTCAAATAGTGTTTTCCTGGCGGGCTATATCGCCCGTTTTTTGGCAATGCGTTCAGTAACTTCTACAAGGTGTAGTCATTTCGCGGGGTTCCAAATAGCATACACTGTTTTATTAAAAGCGTACGCAATTGTAGTTATAGGTGAGGTATATTTTTGGAAAAGGCAATGTAATGATAGGTGCACTATATTTGATTAAAAGCGTATGCAATTGTAATGATAGATCTCTTATCCTTTCTTTTTTGTGTGGCTGAAAACCTCATGCCTTGGGTTCGCTTTCCAAAATCAGAATGTCATTCAAGATAACACTGGACACAAGCTCAGATGTAGTATTGCTGAAACTGCTTCAGGGTATGCTTTCCCAGAAATGTTTATATTGATCATTAATGCTCATCCAATTTTTCTTGGGTTTAGTCAAGTTGTTAGGCCTGTGGTCTGCTGTCCCATGGAGTTTGTTCCCTCAAGGTGCCTATCTAGCTATTTGATAGAATTTCCTGCCTCCCAAAGATTTTAGAATTTTTCGGAGGGCCCAGTTTCATATTTGAGTTGGCAAAGCGGGTTCGGGGATCTCTGGGTAAAAAGATAGTGTTTACTGATGAAGTAAAGTGATAGGAAAATCAGTTCTGCCTGCCCTATTAGGAAATTTCGCATGCAATGGGGAAGGAAATTCCTCTAGATTCAGAATGCGAATGGTCTAATGCTGAAACACATTGATTCCTTTGAATGACTGTCAGTTAGAAATCCCACTTCTGATGACAATTGTGAAGCTTCCTGGCCATAGTTTGTTGATTCTGAGCCAATGATATATGATAAGGGTCCAAAATATACCAATAATGTTCGAGGAACGTGGGATAGTCATAGTTTGTAGATTCTGAGCCAATGATATATGATAAGGGTCCAAAATATACCAATAATGTTCGAGGAACGTGGGATAGTAGTGATTACCGAGTCACTTGAACTGCTTGCATTGTCTTGTAATTCTCACTAGGAATATAAACAAATTATATGGTTTTTTTTTTTTTTTTATTGCTGCGGCATCTGTTGTATATCTCAGTTCGAAACTAATGTTGTTTTGACCCTTTCTCATTCTTGCAGATTTGATTTGGGGAAAAGCGGGTGCAGGAGTAATGATCTCTCCCGAAAAACCATAAAACATAATCTGCGTTCACTGCTTGGTAATTTGAGTTTTACATTTGTCTAATTTGTTAGGACATATTATGGGCATCATGTGTGGAAAGTATGATGTGGTTTTTGCTATTTTCATACAGCCCTGATACCTAAGTAATCTCATATAAAAGTGAAATAACTTGAAAGTTTTGCTATCTGGTATGGTCCATGCTTCTGACTCAACCACAAACGTAAACTTTTGATGGCGATATTTTAAACTACTCTGTTCTACGATGATGAGGGGAATTCAAAATTGAGTGCAGGGGTTCGGGCACATTGTCTTAGTTAACTGGAATAAGTAGAAATTGGAAATTGATCCCCCAGAAAATTGAATTTGATTGGTTGCACTCATGGCCGGATAATACGGGATTTGATTAATTCCGCTTAATAGTTTTTGGATTTTTATACATCTTTTTTAGCTTGGCGCATACATTTTTTTTTTTTATATTTCTTGTCATCGGATTCAATAAATCAAAAAAACTTATGTGATTACATATTGGTGTAGAGGAGAAATAAAGTGCGTGTTTATCTACTTAAATTTGCGGAGTCATGAATGATGTCATGAATGAGAAAAGGAAAGAAGAGTGAAAAATGACATCAAGTAGGGCTAGTTAAAGGTGGAATCTACTCTTTTTTTCACCTTTTATATTATTTTCATATGTACTAGTGCGTTACAAGGGAAGTTAGGAAGTAGATTCTGTGTTTTCAAGGAAGCCAAATATCATTAGTACCATGTGGCGATGTCAAATTGTTAGCATTTTCATAAGATCCAGCCTACTTTTTCTAAAGCTGTTTTGTCCATTTATTCTCATAAAGTAGAGCAATAGTTTCTGATCTAATTGGTGCTTTGTTTCTGAACCAATCGGTGCTTTTGGTCTTTGAACTAAAAATTCGTGTATATTGGTTTTGAATTTGTTATAACGTAAAACAATGATTCTTTTGACTAACTCTATTAGAACTTTCATATTAAATAAAGGGTTTAAAGGGACAAAAAATGGAAGGGAGTTCTAAGCAAAGTTAGCCAAAAAGATCACTACTCCACATTGTAACAAGTTAAGGGACCATTGCTCCGCATTATAACAAGTGCAATGACCAATACTCACAAATTTTTTGTTCAGGGATCAAAGCTCCAATTAAGCTAAAGTTCAAGACCATTGCTCCAATTACTTTATTTAGTCTCCTCTTTTTCTTCTTTACTTTATAACGCACGTACGTCAACAATTAACAGATGACTGGCAGTGAATAATAGAGGTATAAAAGTGACAGAAAAATCTGTGTTTGGGTACAAAAGTGCGACAGACAACTAAAAGTTGAAAATTAGAAAAAACTTAAGGGTAGTAAAACGAAAATTTCATGTAGCCTTATTGTGCGATGGTGCCCAACCAATCCCAGCAGCAAATTTGGGATGTTAAATGTTCGAAGAGAGTGGAGATGAAAGAAGGAACAAAATGCCAAGAGAGGAAGAACGGCCATTGGAAAATTCACTTAAAAACTCAGGAGGTTGAGCTTGTATCTTACAATCATTGTATTAAATTCAATAAGTGGAAAGTTATAAATCTTCTTACAAATTAAGATAACGTTTATGCATAATCACACACCAAGTCATTCAAGAAATATTGACTTTCCCGACTTAACAGTAGCATCAGAAAACATGGCTGTCGCTGCTCTCTTTGTAGCCTGGTGGCTTCGCATGAGGTTCACCGGGTCAACAACCAAGTTTTCTACATAAGCCTTGAAATTGACAAATACTGAATACACCTCAGACTTGAGCTTTAAAGGAAACAACCAACTGTACTTGGTGAATTCATCAACAAACAACACATAGTACTTATAACCAGTGACAGACAAAGTAGGGGCAGGTCCCCAAACGTCGCAATGAACAAGTTCCAAAGGCACAGAGACAAAACTGAGACTTGCAGTGAAAGGCAATTTGTGATTCTTACCAATTGCACAATCGGAACAGAAGAAAGAAGTAAACTTTTTACCCCTATAAACTATAGAATTACTAGTTAAAGCCTTCCGAAAGATAGCAGAGGAGGGGTGGCCGAGTCAATTGTGCCAAACTGATAAAGAAGCCTTGCTACTGACAAGAGCAAATGAAGAATTAGAAGCTGGAGGAAGTCCTTGAAATGGATAAACCCCATCTTTAACAGGCCCTCGGAAAAGCATCCTCCCCGACATACGATCCTTGATTGTAGAACCATCCGAATCAAGAGTTAATTTGCAGTGATTGTCTCGTAAGAATTGATACGCAGAAAGGAGATTATGTTTCATGGCAGGAACATGTAAAACATTATTCAGACGAAAAGTGGCAGCAGGAGTAGTGAGAAAAGAACTACCAGTATGGTGGATGGGCATACCTTGACCATCACCAATATAAACCCTGTCCTAACCATTATAAGGAGCTGGAGAATGAAGAGCAAAGATGTCATTTGTTATATGAGATGTGGCACCGGAGTCCATGAGCCAAGTAGGAGCAGAAGAGGGGAGATTGGTGTGAGCACACATAGTAGCCAATTTTGCAGGAGGAATTTTACCAGCAAAGGCATGATTCATGCGTTCAAAGCAGTCCAGAGCATCATGATCAGGGGAATGACAGATTTGGCATGGATCACAATGACCATGGGAATGACTAGAGGGACGAGGATAACTGCCAGAATTGCTACGATAGTTGTTTCCTCGATAGTTGTTGCCCCGATAGGTGTAGCCTCGATAGGTATTGGTGCCACGAGAATTATTGCCTCGATAAGAGCCTTTACCACGATTGAATTGCCTCGGTACAGTATAGCCCTGTGGTGTGGGAAGAAGAGGCGGTTGAGATTGTGGAGACTGAGCTGTATAGGCTTGAAAGGGTTCAGAAACAGATGAAACAACATATTTCTTCTTACGTTGCATGAACAATTCTTTGTTAATCAGTAGGCCATGTAGTTCATCCAAGGAGGTAGAAGAGATGCGAAGCATAATGGAGTCAACAAATGACTCATAGTCATTAGAAAGGCCATTAAGAGTGACTGCAATCAAATCACTTTCAGAGATCGGAGCACCGGCAGCCATGAGTGCATCAGAGATGGATTTGATGAGCTGAATGTATTCAGAAATCGTAAGATCCCCTTTCTGAACAATATGTAGGCGAGAGCGAAGCTGGTGAATGTGAGCAGTAGAAACGCCGCCAAAGCGTTGCTCAAGATTCAACCATAGCTCACGAGAAGAAGTAACACCAACGGTGAATGGAATGAGATCTTCCGAAAGAGTAGAATTGAGCCAGATAAGGATATTTTGATCCTTTTCATACCACAGATCGAAATCTGGATTTGGAGTACCAGTGATCTTGCCAGAAGCATCAAGCAAGAGGGGGGAAGGACAAATCTTAGAGCCATCAACAATCCCGGTAAGCTTGTAACGACGAAAAATTGGAGCAAACAACGCCTTCCAAACAAGATAGTTGTCCCGTTTAAGCTTGGTAGGAACCATACAGCTGATATTCTGAATCGAAATCGAAGAAATGGAGGGAGAAGGCGGAACCGTAGGAAAATTAGGGTTCATCGGGGACGAATTTGGGGCAAGAACATCAGGATTCATTGGAGATGAACTCGACGAAGGCATCGGAATCAAATCAGAGAGGAGAAAAGAAGAAGATATCAATCAAGATCCGCAAGAAAATGAAGAGAGAGGATCAAAGATCGAAGAAATCAGAGATCGCAGGGAGCGACGAAGAAGAAGAGGATCGAAGGAAAAACGGTGAAGCGAAAAAGGGATGATACCATATTAGAAATGTATTCTCATTAAATGAAACTGGGTTACATTGGATGTATTTATACACAGCAGCTAATAACATTAGTTAACAACTAATGTAACTAATTAAGCTTAATCTATGAATTAATTACAATAGAAAACTTAAAGACTAAGCAATTGATGACTTGGACTCTAGAACTGTTGGCTGTTGGGTTGACTGAGAATAATGTGTGTCTTTAGAAACCATGGCTATCTGTTACTTTGGTTTATCAATTCTTCTTAGAAGGAGATAACCGATGTTTTGACCACTCTTCCAGAGCCCTGCGGTGTAGAGCATTCAACCTAATGTAAGGACGTTTCTCTCGAATTAGTTTCTCAGCATTTTTCCAGTCCTCTTCAACCCCAAGAGCAACTAGTAGTGCACACATGACAGCTACACTTCTCCCATGACCTATAAAAGAAAATTATGAAACAATTTCTCGTCACAACTCAATACCTACACCCATCCAAATAGTTCAGCAATCAAATATCATTACTATGAAAAAAAACAGAGTGGAAATTGTTACGAAAAATATTTAGGAACGAGCCCCTTATCACCCGAAACCTCCTATCGCAGGAAATTTAATGCAGAAAACTTTATTCATCAATCCAACTAGACATAGGAAAATTGGAGTCAATCCTAATAATATAGAAAACCAAGTTAAATCCTATCTAAAACAGGGAAACTAAAAACCTCAGGAAACAAACAAACAACACAGGAAGGTAATCCAACCACAAGGATATGTTAATGAGATCATCTTTTCTTCCATCTCTTTACTTGGTAAACAGTAAATGGTTTTTCAGCAATGTCCTCATCAAATTCTCCCAAAGAAAAGCTATAAATCTAAAGGCTAAAAGTCTCAATAATTCTGCACATAACATCAGGGTTTATCCAGGATCATGTCCAGAATTACACGCGTAAATGCAAACTTAAATTTTGTTACTGTGTGTGACTTGTATTTCTGAACACCAACTGCGATGACAGCATTGTTCCTCCATAAGAAATGACTGGACAAGATCATATCTAGCTTAAAAATGAGACAGTACAAAAAGTTTCGAACCTAAACAATAAACGAGTTAATATAATCGTTAAGTTTCTTTTTTTCATTTTTCTTTTTGTAGGACATTAATTATGCAGAGTATGGAGCATTTCAAAGATGTTTTGAAGAGGCCAAAGCTAATCGAATCATGTCACCCTCTTGATGCACTGCGCTTATAACTCATCTACGCTTTTTTAATTATTTTCGTTCTCTTTTGTGTGAACCTTTAAATGTATTTAAAAAAGCGTAGATGAGTTATAAGCGAGAAAGTGCCGAGTGGTAATTGGTATCGAAAGCACTGTGAAGCGCTACCCCGTTTCTTATCATCCATTGTTTACCAATTACCATTCTGCAGGAACAATACCCCGTTTCTTATCAAACCCGAGGATGCACCTGAGCAGAGTAGTAGTGGTTGATCAAGAAGTACGTCCTCCATAGGGCTTAACCTTAAGGCAATCTTATCTGCATTGCACCACAATTACCCCTCGCTTTACTTACCTATATAGATATCTAGGAGCTAATACCACCAGATATGTTGCATTGCAGAACAATTCACAAATATACACACACACATTATACGCATCGCAAAACAAGTGAATCTATCTCACTACCAACAGGAAAAATTACTCAAAATTTGAGCAGCATACCGTAGGCGCAGTGGACGAAAACAGGCTTATTCTGAGCCCTTTTTTGGCAAGCCCACTTGACAGCAGATTCAATGGCAGGCGGCTGAGGAGCCCTCGTGTCCCATGTTGGCACACACAAATAAGAATGCCCTGTAACCTCACACTTCCTTGGCAATTCACAAGTGCAATCAACAATGGCAGGGTCACCTGGTGGCAGTTTATCAAGCGAAGAAGGCCACCCGCCAACGAACAAACCCTCGGAGATTTCAGTGTAAGGAGCCTCCCTACTCTGCATCCTCCGCAATGCCGAGAAGAAGCGGACGAAATACAAATAGGGGCTGAACATTATAATCGACCAAGTGGGGAAACTCCCATCTGGGTTCTTCCCCAACAGCATGGGAAGGTCTATCACTGGATGAGCAGCAAGTGAAACCAAAGCAAAAACCAAAGAGGCATACAAAAATGGTATGGAAAGCACTGTGAAACCAGAGCTTTTGAGGCATGCAAACAACGCGAACAATACTGCTGCCTGCAACCCTGTCCGAACCCATAGACTAAAACCCATCTTTGCTCCACTACCGAGTACCCCAAATGTGCCTGTCAGGTACTTGATGGAAGTCCTCAGAGAGGCCAAGGGCAGCTCTTGTTTTGCAGATCATATCTCTACCGGAGAAATATAGTTTAAATAAGGGTGGGATTGGATGCTGGAGGTTATCCTCGTGTTTCTCGTAAAAGCAAATTTCAAGGTGAATTTAAGACTCCTCCTTCCATACTCAAAGAACAGAACCTGAGGAATTGATGGTTTCACGGAAGACTTTTTGTTTTAAAATTCTCATTTTATATTTTAAAATTTTTACATTTAGAAAAAAAAATACACTTGTGAAAAATATAAAATGAGATTTGTAGAATGTTATTAACAGTTTCGATAATAATAATAATAATAAAAATAACGGTTAGAGTGATGCTAAAGAGATTATTTATTTGATCCGTATTTTATAAATCACATGATATAACGATTAAAATGTAGCTTAATAGTTATTTTAAGGGAGGGATTCAATGCTGGAGGGTATCCTCGTGTTACTCGTAAAGCAATTTCAAGGGAATTTAAGATATCTCCTTCCATACTCATAGAATAGAACTAGAGGAATTGGCGGCTTCACGGGTAGACTTTCCACCACAATCCAAAGACAAAATGAAAATTTTGAACTACCAAGTTTCTATAATAATAATAATAAGAACAACAACAACAACAACGGTTAGTGTGATGCTAGAGAGATAATCCATTTGAACCGTATTTTCTAAATCACATAATGTATCATCGATAACTATTTTTCTTTTTTAAATCATTAAAAAAAGAATTCAACCATCAATTATCACATCATGTATCTACAAACTATGATTTAAAAAATATGTCTCTCTAGCATTTTCCCAAAGGTTAAGTAGAAATAAACTAACAATGTGCTGGAAAGTCATCAAACGCTTATCATTACAATATTTTCCTTTAGTGTGTAGGATTTAGGCCATCAAACATTGGTCCTAATGAATGTCAAATTTTAAAATATTACGTAATTATTTGAAATAAAATTGGAATAAGAACTAAAAATTTGTATGGCACCCATATAAAAAAGGGAGGATAGTGTTATTAACATACTTATTTTTACTTCCTACACACTTTTATTAATTTTTTTTTTTATCATTGATCTTCAATTCATTCGATCTGACGACCAATTAATAAGAGTAGTGTGTGAGAAGTGAAAATTGGCGTGTGAATGACACTACCAAAAAAAGGAATCCCATTCCAAAATTTTGGAGGAATGACATTTCTTGACGGGGTGGGATTGAAGGAGAATGGGAATTAACTTTATATATCAAAATTTCATTCACATTTTTTATTGATGAAAAGTGAACTAGTTTTTATTAGGGGTGCAATTTAGGTTGGGCCAACCCGAACCCGTTCATATTCAACTTAACTTTAAATCCGAACCAACAAGTTTTTTTTTAGTTATAACCCATCCTTACCCAACCTGATTTCAACCCGTTCATTGATTGAGTTGGGTTGATCATTTGTCCAACCCAACCCAACTCGATTGGATTGAGTTGTGCAACATGCTTCTCAATGACCTTTGCACATTCGTGGAGGATTCACTAGTGACTTTTGATAGATTATGATAGAAAAGTGCATGGAGTTGCAGAAAGCAATTGTTGTTCTAGCAGTCACACTTTGATTTTTCTGCAAGAGCTTCGAAGGACAAGACTTGAGTTGTGAAATCTCATTTTCGGATTTCACTGTTATAATCTACGCATTGTTATTATTGAAATTTTATGTTATTTTTGGGAATTTATATTAATTTATTTGAATTTAGATTTTAATTAAACCAGTTACGAAGTTTGAAGTTTGGAAATTAATTATTTAAAATCTGTAGATCTTTCGAGGTCACAGTTTATATTTCTGAATAGAGCTTGATCCCACGAACGCATAGGCGAAATCCGTTTGCGAGTCTGGATTATAACGGTATAATTATGGACGTTTGAAGTTGGTTATTTAAATGTAGTTAAATTATTTGAACTCTCATCTTGTGGGAAGGCTAACTAATCAGCCTTAAGTAAAGAGAGAAGGGAACCAATCAAATAAAAAGGGGATGGAGGATCAATGAGAAATGAGAAAAGAAGAAAAAAAAAAAAAAAAAAAAAGAGGTGGAGTAGCCTTCCTGTCGACCCACACCCGTTGCGAGCTCCCATTTTCCAAGGCTGATTCCGGCCAACTCCGGTGGAGATTTTCGACGCCACCACCATCATCTTGAAGCTCTCATTCCCCTCTAAAAACCCACCCATAAACCACCTTGATTAACCACGGTATGTGGCAGTTTAAGGGCACGAAAGTCGACGAAAATCAATAGTACTCCGACCACCTTTTTCAATTTTTCGGCAAATCAGCAAAGCGAGGCCGATGTCACCACTTGGGCTTTGTAGCCCATCATCCCAATAGAAAATCCCAACCAACCTTGACCCTGTTGGACCACTGTAGACGACGAATCGACGTTGGGAAGTTTTAGGCACCCGTTGGCTTTGTGGGCAAAATTGACCCCCTTCCGTCCACTTTTGAACTTTGTGGCTGGTATGAAAGTTGTTCCTCTCTTTGAGATATTCATTTCTGTAAATTTTGGTAATTTTTAGAAATAGTTGGATTTTTCTGACGAGTTGGGACGGCCGACCGCCATCAACGGCGGTGCGTGGCCAGGGGGCCATCGATGTCATTCTTAGGCTAAATTAGATGCCTTGAGCTCAGTTTTGATAATTGTATGACATAGGTTGATGGTTGGAACATAAATTCTCTAGGATACGTTAATTAATAAAAGTGTGAATCGACAATCTGACCGTTGGATCGTCACAAAACTTTAACTTATGTAATATGGTTATTACCTTGATTTCTTATATTGGTATCACCTATGAATATGACTTCATTTTATAATGTGAAGTCTATTAAAATGTTATTATATATATATTTAGCCATAGACCTGCCAGGTGCTTGATGGAAGTCCTCAGAGAGGCCAAGGGCAGATCCTGTTTTGCAGATCAAATCTCCACTGGAGAAATATAGTTTAAATAAGGGTGGGATTGGATGCTGGAGGGTATCCTCGTGTTTCTCGTAAAAGCAATTTCAAAGTGAATTTAAGACTCCTCCTTCCATACTGAAAGAACAGGACCAGAGGAATTGATGGTTTCACGGAAGACTTTTTGTTGCAGAATTGTTATTGCCATTTGAAAATTCTCATTTTAAATTTTAAATTTTTTATTTAAAAAGAAAAATATACTTTTGAGAAGTATAAAATGAGATTTTTATAATGTTAGTAACAGATTCCATAATAATAATAATAATAATAATAATAACGGTTAGAGTGATGCTAAAGAGATTATTTATTTGATTCGTATTTTATAAATGACATGATATAACGGTTAAAATGTAGCTTAATAGTTATTTTAAGGGTGTGATTGAATGCTGGAGGGTATCCTCGTGTTACTCGTAAAGCAATTTCAAGAGAATTTAAGATATATCCTTCCATACTCATGGAATAGAACTAGAGGAATTGGCGGCTTCACGTGTAGACTTTCCACCACAATCCAAAGACAAAATGAAAATTTTGCCTACCAAGTTTCTATAATAATAATAATAAACAACAACAACGGTTAGTGTGATGCTAGAGAGATAATTCATTTGAACCGTATTTTTTAAATCACATAATGTGTCATCGATAATTATTTTCCTTTTTTAAATCATTAAAGAAAAGAATTCAACCATCACTTGTCAACATCATTATCACAAACTTAATGATTTTAAAATATAGTCCTTTAGCATTTTCCCAAAGGTTAAGTAGAAATAAACTAACAATGTGCTGGAAAGTCATCAAACGCTTCCTACAATATTTTCCAGTGTGGTCAATCCGGACGGGGCGATTTTCCTCCACCACAGTAGCATATTGTCGCTGGGTACTTCCTAGTTTTGTTTTGGATTCGAGCACTTCCCAGTGGGCAACATGGGAATGCCCCTTCGCTTAACTTGGAGTTCCTACGGAACCCGAAGCCAGTGAGCTCCCAAAAGGCCTCGTGCTAGGTAGAGATGAGAATATACATATAAGGACCACTCCCCTGGGCGATGTGGGATGTCACAATCCACCCCCTTAGGGGCTCGACGTCCTCGTCGGCACACACGCAACCAGGGTTAGGCTCTGATACCAAATTGTCACATCCCGACCCGGGGCGGATCACTTCCTGGCCCCGCTCCACCACCGTAGCACGATATTGTCCCTTTGGGCTTACCATTTACTCACAGTTTTGTTTTTGGGAACTCATGAGCAACTTCTCAGTGGGTCACCCATCATGGGATTGCTCTAGCCCCCTTCTCGCTTAACTTCGGAGTTCCTACGGAACCCGAAGCTAGTAAGCTCCCAAAAGGCCTCGTGCTAGGTAGAGATGGGAATATACATATAAGGATCACTCCCCTGGACGATGTGAGATGTCACAGTGTAGGATTTAGATCATCAAACACTGGTCCTAACGAACGTTAAATTTTAAAATATTACGTAGTTATTTGAAATAAAATTGGATTAAGAACTAAAAATTTGTATGGCGCCCATATAAAAAAGGGAGGATAGTGTTATTAACATACTTATTTTTACTTCCTACACACTCTTATTAATTTTTTATTTTTTTTAATTTTTTATCATTGATTTTCAATTCATTCGATCTGAGGACCAATTAATGAGAGTAGTGTGCAAGAAGTGAAAATTGGTGTGTGAATGACACTACCAAAAAAAGGAATGCCACAATTTTGGAGGAATGACATTTCACGACGGGGTGGGATTGGAGAAGCAGAATGGGAATTAACTTTATATATCAAAATTTCATTCACATTTTTTATTGATGAAAAGTGAACTAGTTTTTATTAGAGGTGCAACTTAGGTTGGCCCAACCCGAACCCGCTCATATTCAATCTAACTTTAAACCCGAACAAGCGGGTTTTTTTTATAGTTATAACCCATCCTTACCCAACCCGATTTCAATCCGTTCATTAATTGAGTTGGGTTGGGTTGGGTTGATCATTTGTCCAACCCAACCCAACCTGATTAACCAAACCCGATTGGGTTGAGCTGTGCAACATGCTTTTCAATGACCCTTGCACCTTCGTGGAGGATTCACTAGTGACTTTTGATGGATTATGATAGAAAAGTGCATGGAGTTGCAGAAAGCAATTGTTTTTCTGGCAGCCACACTTTGATTTTTCTGCAAGAGGTTCGAAAGACAAGACTTGAGTTGGGTACTAGCTTTGGACAATGAAGTGGTCCTCTCTTCTTTTTTTTCTTTTGGTACTAGCTTTGGTATTTCTTGTATTTTAATTCAAACTTTGCATAAACTCGATTAAAACTTGAAAAAGTTTAGCAACCCGAACCCGAATGAACTCGATTAAAACCCAACCCGAATTGTAAAAGTGGGGTTAGGGTAGGTTGACCTTCTAACCTGCCCAACCCGCCTAAGTTGCACCCCTAGTTTTTATAATGATTTCCTAAGGGTCCTAGGGATCCCGTGATTGTGATCGTTTATTGTATATCGTGCGATCAATTTTCGTTAGGTACTATTTATATTTAATTTTAAATTTTAAATTTTGAAATGATTTCTAACCGCTCGATATATGATGAACGGTAATGATCACGGGATCCTTAGGAAAATGATCCTATTACTCCAATTACTCAAATTACTAGCTCGGGAACCAAAGCTCCAATTGAACTGAAATTCAAGACCATTGCTCCAATTACTTTATTTATTCTCCTCTTTTTCTTCTTTACTTTATAACGCACATGCATCAACAATTAATGGATGACTTGAGGCAGTGAATAATAGAGGTATAAAAGTGATGATAAAATCTTATATTTGAGTACAAAAGTGCGACACACGACTAAAAGTAGAAAATTAGAAAAACCTTTAGGGTGGTAAAACGAAAATTACTTGCAGCTTTATTGTGCGATGGTGCCCAACCAATTGCAGCAACAAATTTGGGATGTTAAATGTTCAAAGGGAGAGTGGAGATGACAGAAGGCAAAATACCAAGAGAGGAAGAACGGCCGTTGGAAAATTCACTTAAAACTCAGGAGGTTGAGCTTGTATCTTACAATCATTGCATTAATAAGTGGAAAGTTATAAATCTTCTTACAAATTAAGATAACGTTTATGCATAATCACACACTAAGTCATTCAAGAAATATTGACTGTTTCCCGACTTAACAGTAGCATCAGAAAACATGGCTGTTGCCGGTCTCGTTGTAGTCTGTGGCTTTGTGTTCCACATGAGGTTCACCGGGTCAATGGTTCAACTGGCACCGCAAGAAACCATGGCTATCTATTACTTTAGCTAATCAATTCTTCTTAGAAGGAGATAACCGATGTTTTGACCACTCTTCCAGAGCCCTGTGGTGTAGAGCATTCATCCTAATGTAAGGGCGTTTCTCTCGAATTAGTTTCTCAGCATTTTTCCAGTCCTCTGCCACCCCAAGAGCAACTAGTAGTGCACACATGACAGCTACACTTCTCCCATGACCTATAAAAGAAAATTACGAAACAATTTCTCGTTACAACTCAATACCTACACCCATCCAAATAGTTCAGCAATCAAATATCATTACTATGAAAAAAAACACAGCGGAAATTTGTTACGAAAATTATTTAGGAACGAGCCCCTTATCACCTGAAACCTCCTATCGCAGGAAATGTAATGCAGATTTATTCATCAGTCCAACTAGACAAGGGAAAATTGGAGCCAATCCAACCACAAAGATATGTTAATGAGATCATCTTTTCCTCCATCTCTTTACTTGGTAAACCGTAAATGGTTTTTCTGCAATGTCCTCATCAAATTCTCTCAAAGAAAAGCTATAAATCCAGAGGCTAAAAGTTTGAATAATTCCACACATAACATCAGGGTTTATCCAGGATCATGCTCAGAATTACATGCGTAAATGCAAACTTAAAAATTTGTAACTGTGTGACTTGTATTTCTGAAAACCAACAGTGATTACAGCATTGTTCCTCCATAAGAAATGACTGGGCAATATCATATCTAGCTAGTTTCGAACCTAAACAAGTTAATATAATCGTTAGGTTTCTTTTTTCTTTTTTTCTTTTTTCTGAGACATTAATTAGTGCAGAGTATGGAGCATTTCAAAGATGTTTTGAAGAGCCCAAAGCTAATCGAATCATTTCACCCTCTTGTTGTGCTGCGCTTATAACTCATCTACGCTTTTTTAATTATTTTCGTTCTCTTTTGTGTGAACCTTTAAATGTATTTAAATTTCACATAACTGGTACATTGCGGACCTTTTGCTATTAGGTTGCCATCTAGCAGGCTGTTGGGATATAAGTGAGAAAGTGCCGAGTGGTAATTGGTAAACAATGGATGATACTGACTTGATTTGGGTTAGTTAGACTGAGTATGAAAGCAAGGTAAAAGAAGCTACAAGAAGGCACAAAGTTAGACAAATAGTAATAAGAAATGTAACCAGAATAGAACAATGTCATTAGAATATAGAACAGTGTTGGCCCATATCCCAACAGCTTAAACTTTTGGGACTAGTGGTAAACTAACAACCTTCATCATGGTATTAGAGCAGGAAATCCTGAGTTTGAATCACTGCAATTGAATCCTCCCTATATAAGTTTAATTCCACATATCGATCTCAAAAAAGTGGAGAGTGACCCACATGTGAATGGAAATGCTAAATTATAAAACAATCGTTGAACCGCATCTAAACAACAAAAGCTTGTGCAAATAGTGGTAAGCAAACCAACTGACTTTGTCGATGCTATTACAATTATTTTTTGTATGAGGTACAAGTTGCCAGCCCCAACTTTGAGTAACTGTCCTAGGAAATTAAGGGACAGCAGATTAAGCTGCTGAGGATTTTCTGGAAGTTCAGAAGAAGATGCATATAAAGGTTCGGATGATTAAACAAAACCATGAAATGTTCACTATGAATGTCCTTCCAAATCTGTCAGAGGGCATGACCATCAACAAAGTGTTGGGCGAGGGCTGTGGCCTATGGTGGTGGAAGAAGATAGCAACTACAACAATTTCCTAAATTGAAAAGTTAAGAGGCATGAACTATTAGGTTTGAGGTGAATGAAACATGAGAAGTTTGGTGAATTGGTGGATGACTGCAGGCCCAAGTGTTGGGAAGTTGCGCTCAGTGAAACTAAGGAGTTAATTGAGAAAGAGGTTTTGGGGAAATTGTTTCGTTAAAAAGAGAAGAGTGTGGAGGAATTCAAGAAAGCTTTCTGCAGGAACGATACCCCGTTTCTTATCAAACCCGAGGTTGCGCCTGAGCAGAGCAGTGGTTGATCAAGAAGTACCTCCTCCATAGGGCTTAACCTTAAGGCAATCTTGTCTGCATTGCACCACAACTACCCTCACTTTACTTACCTATATAGATATCTAGGAGCTAATACCACCAGAAATGTTGCATTGCAGAACAATTCACAAATACACACACACACACACACACATTATATGCATCGCAAAACAAGTGAACTATCTCACTACCAACATGAAAAATTACTCAAAATTTGAGCAGCATACCGTAGGCGCAGTGGACGAAAACAGGCTTATTCTGAGCCCTTTTTCGGCAAGCCCACTTGACAGCAGATTCAATGGCAACCGGCGGGGGAGCCCTCGTGTCCCATGTTGGCACACACAAATAAGAATTCCCTGAAACCTCAGAATTCCTTGGAAATTCACAAGTGCAATCAACAATGGCAGGGTCACCTGGCGGCAATTTATCCGGCGAAGAAGGCCACCCGCCAACGAACAAACCCTCGGAGATTTCAGTGTAAGGAGCCTCCCTACTATGCAACCTCCGCAATGCCGAGAAGAAGCGGACGAAATACAAATAGGGGCTGAACATTATAATCGACCAAATGGGGAAAGTCCCATCTGAGTTCTTCCCCAACAGCATGGGAAGGTCTATGGATGGAAGAGCAGCAAGTGAAACCAAAAATGAAACCATAGAGGCATACAAAAATGGTATCGAAAGCACTGTGAAACCAGAGCTTCTGAGGTATGCAAACAACGCGAAATATACTGTTGCCTTCAACCCTATCAGAACCGATATACCTACACCCATCTTTGCTCCACTACTGAGTACCCCAAATGTGCCCGCCAGGTGCTTGATGGAAGTCCTCAGAGAGGCCAAGGGCAGATCTTGTTTTGCAGATCAAATCTCGACTGGAGAAATATAAGTTTAAATAAGGGTGGGATTGGATGCTGGAGGCCATCCTCGTGTTACTCGTAAAAGCAATTTCAAAGTGAATTGAAGACACCTCCTTCCATACTCATAGAATAGAATTAGAGGAATTGACGGTTTCCCGAGACTCTGTTACGGAATTGTTATTGTTATTTCAAAATCTTCATTTTGTATTTTAAATTTTTAACATTTAGAAAGAAAATATATCGGTAAGGACTATAAAATAAGATTTTTAGGATGTTAGTAACAGTTTCCATAATTATACTAATAACGGTTAGAGTGATGCTAAAAAGATTATTTATTTGATCCGTATTTTGTAAATCACATGATATAACGATCAAAATGTAGCTTAATAGTTATTTTAAGGGTGGGATTTAATGCTGGAGGGTATCCTCGTGTTACTCATAAAGCAATTTCAAGTGAATTTAAAATATCTCATTCCTTACTCATAGAATAGAACTAGAGGAATCGGGTTGACTTTCCACCACAGTCCAAAGAAAAATGAAAATTTTGAACTACCAAGTTTCTATAATAATTATAATAACAACAACAACAACAACAACGGTTAGTGTGATGCTAGAGAGATAATTCGTTTGAACTGTAATTTGTAAATCACATGATGTATCATCGATGTCTATTTTTTTTTTAATTATTAAAGAAAGAATTCAACTACCAATTGTCACATTAGAGCAACTCCACCCCTAAATACTTTGTGCCAGCACCCCGCTCATTTATCCACTCAAGTAAATAGTAATAGACTCAAGTGTACAGTAATAGACTAAAGCATCTCCGCCCCTAACACCAAATAGCCTAGTCAATTTTATTAAAATATTATTAATTTTTATTATAAAATAATAATTTAACAAAATGAAGGGATATGAAACTCCTCCACTGCTCCAAACTCCAAAGTCCAAGGTCCATACCGAGAGAGAGAATCTATTCCCTTATTTTTCCCGATGGAAAGGGAGCCTTTTCTCGGCTCCCAAACAGGACCCCAACACCAACTCCTCCAACCCACCCCCACCCCCACTGTTCAAGTCCCTGACTCTGATGATTTCTCTTTCAAAATCTCTCCCTCCCACAGCGAGCCTAATCTCCACCACCTCCAACAACCCCCCACCATCACTATGTCCACCAACCAGACCCGCAGCCCTCTTCGTCAGGAGCCCCGAATGCCTGCCATCAGAAGAGACCCGGCACTCTCCACCGCTGCAGGACAGCCCCCGCTATGGCCGTCATGCGAGACCTCAATCCACACCCAACAACCCAGGCCCCCAAACCCCCATCCCCATCGCCCTTTGCTCCGCCGACAAATTGGCCTTCTTCAACCTCAGCCTCGAGGAGCTCTGCAACAAGATCTCTCTACGACGTGTTGATCGTGCGGGAGGTTGATGGCCCGGCTGACGTCAGATGGCCCGGCATATGGGTCTGTAGATTTTAGGCCGGTCTCTTGCCTGGCTTGGGTTGGGTGCCGGTCAAAATGCTAGGCTGGAGTGGATAGCCTGGGTGTCGGGCTGGTTTTTTGGCTGGGTGCTGGCTTATCAGTTCCCCGGTGGAACTGCTCTTATATATCTACAAACTATGATATACAAAACATGTCTCCCTAGCATTTTCCAAAGGGTTAAAGTAGAAATAAACAAACAATGTGCTAGAAAGTCATCAAACGCTTATCATTACAATATTTTCCTTCGGTGTGTAGGGTTTAGGTCATCAAACACTGGTCCTAACAAATGTGAAATTTTAAAATATTAGGTAGTTATTTGAAATAAAATTAGAATAAGAACTAAAAATTTGTATGGCACCCGTATAAAAAAAGAAGGAAAGTGTTATGACATACTCATTTTTACTTCCTACACACTCTTATTAATTTTTTGTTATTGATCTTCAATTCATTTGATCTAACGGTCAAATATTGAGAATAATGTGTGAGAAATAAAAATGAGCATGTGAATGACACTACCAAAAAAGGAAATGCCATTCCAAATTTTTGGAGGAATGACATTTCGTGACGGGGTGGGATTGGAGAAGGAGAATGGGAATTAACTTTATATATCAAAATTTCATTCACACTTTTTATTGATGAAAAGTGAACTAGTTTTTATAATGATTCATTAGTGGCTATACAGAGAGGGAATGAGAGTTTGTAGCATAAAATAGAGTGGCGCGATGATTGTTATTAACGCACAGTGAGAATCAACAGATTCATTAATCCAATCTATCGGATTCCGGAGCACTTAACATAACCAAAATACAAAGTGGGATTTCAAACCACTCAATGGAATTCGAATAGGGTACGATTCCGAACCACTCAACGGATTCACGGAGTAGAAGGGATTCTGGACCACTCAACGAAATTTGAGTGGATACAATTCCGGACCACTCAATGGAATCACGGAGTACAAGGGATTTTGGACTGCTCAATGAAATCGCAGAGTATTTCGAACCACTCAATGAAATCCAAAACATGATACGATTCCGGACCACTCAACAAAATTGCGGAGTATGAGAGATTCCGAACCATTAAACAGAATCCGGATGGAGCAAGGAATCAGACCACTAACAAAACCCTAACAAACTCAATTTCGAACCACCCAACGAAACCGAGCAGAAGTCCAAGAAATATATCAACGGCTCGACGAAACAAGACATGAATCAAGTTACTCAATTTACAAAGGCTCAATCAAATGAAACAAAGCACAAGCACTACATTTAGAACGGATCAACGAAGCGAGAAATGAAACAATATCGAAGAAACAAATACCTATGACAATGGGTTAAGTTCCGCGACTAGCCCTCACATTTCACAAACAATTCAAAATGCATTTCAAATCACATTTCACAAATATTTCCGGGGTGTGATATCCATACACCTCTTTTTACTGCTCTCACACCTTTTTAGTTTTCAACCATCGGATCGGATGAATTGAAGAAGATCAACGGACATAAATTAACAAGGGGTGTGTGAGAAGTAAAAAATGGTGTGTGGATAGCACACCCCATATTTCCAATGCACAAGTCAAATCACATTTCATAAAATAGATGGATGGCTCAATGAAAAAAAATCACATTTCAATAGAAATCACATTTATAAAATCAAGTCATATCCACAAAGGATACATAAGAATCTCAGGATAATAACCATTACCACATATATTAAAGTCACTCACCTAGAGTTCGCGCTACGACTCCTAGCATTATTATCGAGGCGTCCACACAAAGGTCGCCAAGAACAAATATCAATTCTCGTCTCAGAACTTTAACGATAAAACCCATAATTTCATGTTCTATACGTCATCCAAGACATTGTAGAAGAATATGGAACGTGTTGACCAAAAGTCAACCTTTGGTCAACCATCAACAGTAAGGTTCACAACCATACGTAATTTGATCCGGAAGATCTGCACATCGGATCTTTGATCCATAACTTCCTAAGGTCCTCCTTATAATTCTAGAACAACATATTAAAATTTTGTCACGATCCAATAGTCGGATATCCGCCAATCGCAAACTTAGGTGGCGATTAACTAGGCAATCAACTCTAAAATTATGTTAAAACATCGGAATGTCACTAAATGGATTAGGGGCACCGATATTAGTTTAGGTGGGATCTTGGGCCAAAACCCGAAAAGTCTACAAAAGTCAACGTAAGGAATATTCCAAACAATAATTGGATCGGGTCGGATCCAGATCAAACCACGGGTTGGGTCAAGAATGGGTTATTAGATCTGGATACGGGTTGTGGGTTGGATATGGGCTGGTTGACCTGGTTCGCCAGAAAACCCATCGGTTTCTGCAGATTTTGGTTGGAAATTTGGGCAATTTTCAAAGCTTAATAACTCACTCGTTTCTCAACCAAATTCAACCCATAATATATCAAAACAAAGTTAGGGAAGTGTAAAACAAAATAGTACCTGTTGGGAAGTCAAATAGTGGCCCGAAAAGCGACAAGTCCACAGGAAAACTGGATAACTTGCTGAATTTCTACGTAAACTTTAAGTCATAACTTTCTCTTTTCTTAACCAAAATCTACTATCTTTATATGGAATTGAAGCTCGGAAAGAGGAGAATATGGTAGCACATGTTTGAAAGCCAAATGGTGGCTGCATATGTCCTGAAATTGGATGGAAAGTCTCGGTTTTCGTGGAAGCTTTTAGAATGTCAGTTATTGGCCCTTTTTTATTTTCGTGATCTAAAGCTCATTTTTAAGCAAGAGAAAAAAGGAAGGTCGACCTGGTGTTGTTTTTTAGATCAAATGGTTAGAATTGGGAGGTGTGTGGTGATGTGTGTGCTTAGGCAAGGAAGAAAGGGTTCTAGAGAAAGTGAGGAAAGATTGAAAGAAAAAGAAAGACATGAAAGAGAGAAGCCAAAGAAATCCAGAGAAGTGGAAAACGGTCTGTGGGTCTCACATGGCACACAACCCAATGCAACATGTGTTCTAAGTGGGCAAATTACCAAAATGGGCTGGAAGTTTAAAGGTTCGTAAAATCTTTACTATACCTCCAAATTTGACTCCGCTCATGCTCACGCGTTCGCATCGACGGGTACTATCTGAAAATGCCAGGAAACATGGAAAATATGAAAGGATCAATTACGACATCAAAGAATCCTATTAATCCATTAGGGCGTTTTCGTCTTTTCACACATTTCAAAAAAATTATACGCCATATTCAACCTAGGTTCAATGGGGACCGGCGGGGGAGCCCTCGTGTCCCATGTTGGCACACACAAATAAGAATGCCCTGAAACCTCAGAATTCCTTGGAAATTCACAAGTGCAATCAACAATGGCAGGGTCACCTGGCGGCAGTTTATCCTGCGAAGAAGGCCACCCGCCAACGAACAAGCCCTCGGAGATTTCAGTGTAAGGAGCCTCCCTACTCTGCATCCTCCGCAATGCCGAGAAGAAGCGGACGAAATACAAATAGGGGCTGAACATTATAATCGACCAAATGGGGAAAGTCCCATCTGAGTTCTTCCCCAACAGCATGGGAAGGTCTATGGATGGAAGAGCAGCAAGTGAAACCAAAAATGATACCATAGAGGCATACAAAAATGGTATCGAAAGCACTGTGAAACCAGAGCTTCCGAGGTATGCAAACAACGCGAAATATACTGCTGCCTTCAACCCTATCAGAACCGATATACCAACACCCATCTTTGCTCTACTACTGAGTACCCCAAATGTGCCTGCCAGGTGCTTGATGGAAGTCCTCAGAGAGGCCAAGGGCAGATCTTGTTTTGCAGATCAAATCTCGACTGGAGAAATATAAGTTTAAATAAGGGTTGGATTGGATGCTGGAGGGTATCACGTGAGACTCATAGAATAGAATTAGAGGAATTGATGGTTTCAAGCGAGACTTTGTGTTACTGAATTGTTATTCCCACTTCAAAATTTTCATTTTGTATTTTAAACTTTTTACATTTAGAAATAAAATACACCTGTGAAGACTACAAAATGAGATTTTTAAAATGTTAGTAACAGTTTCCATAATAATAATAACAACGGTTAGAGTGATGCTAAAAAGATTATTTATTTGATCCGTATTTTGTAAATCACATGATATAACAATCAAAATGTAGCTTAATAGTTATTTTAAGGGTGGGATTGAATGCTGGAGGGTATCCTTGTGTTACTCATAAACCAATTTCAAGGGAATTTAAGATATCTCCTTCCATACTCATAGAATAGAACTAGAGGAATTGGTGGTTTCACGGGTAGACTTTGCACCACAATCCAAAGACAAAATGAAAATTTTGAACTACCAAGTTTCTATAACAACAACAACAACAACAACAATGGTTAGTGTGATGCTAGAGAGATAATCCATTTGAACCGTATTTTATAAATCACAAGGGAACCTTCAAACACACTATCCTAGCACATCATTGTCTATCACAACCAATAAAGGAGAAGAGAGAGAGAGATAAAACTTTGAGGCAACACCAAAATCTGCAGTTATGAAACAATTGAGAGGAAAAGAATGAAGTTATGAACCATTACAAGAACTTTTGTATCAAGTCTTTTACTGAAAAGAAAGGGGTCACCTTTTGTAGATTCAACAATTACTGGTTGACGGTAGCAGCATTTCCATCATCCTCCCCAAACTATCCCTTTATCTGTAAGGAAGACAAATGATTAATTGATATGCAGAGGGATGATCATGACAGGAACAGAAACTTATTACTTACACGCCGAGATTATGTCGTTCGACTGATCCATTCGTTAACAAGTCATTTAACTCAAGGATGCCCTTCCAAAGATTGGACCCAATCCCAATTCGGCAGGGATATAGGGAAATAGAGTGATAGCACCCATACTTGGTTTTTCCAAAGTGGTTTTAATTGTCTTTCGTTGCAGATTTCATTTTCAAAAACTAATCTTTCTTTGACAATCCTAACTGTTCTAAGCATGCAATGACACAGTCCAAAATTCATACGAAAACTAATTTTCCACAATAATAAGTTTATATTAACTCCAATCAGATTATAGGAAAACAGTTGATATGTACAGGGAAAATTTGAGGACAACTGACAACACCATTAAGAATGATCATGACAACTGCGCATTTGTCTTGTTTAAACTACCCTTGAAATCCACTAAATCTTATTTTAGTACTAACAACAGACTATTCCAAAGATACACTAAACACAAAAACCAGAAAAGACCAATTTAATCCGTCATTGCTCAAAAACCCATCTAATTGATGCCAAATTAATGAAAACAAGACCCATATCCAGAATCCTAACAAGAACTAGGATGGAATAAAGACCATGTAAGTTATGCAGAATTCATACCAGAAAAAGGATTGTATTATAGCTAAATGCCTAGTGAGAGTCCTTGGACACAGATGTCGCGATTGGTGATCACTTCACATCTCCAAGCATTTGCATTAAGTTACAAGTTACAACTAGAAGAATGACTAAAGCAAAACTACATTATACAATATGTTCCAACGATATGAGGATCCTAGAGGAAATTAGCAAGATTCAAATATGTCTCTTTTGGTTTTCAGGACTTGAAACAAAACCAAGGATTCAAACCTACGGGAACCTTCAAACACACTACCCTAGCACATCATTGTCTATCGGAACCAACAAAGGAGACGAGAGAGATAAAACTTTGATGCAACATCAAAATCAGCGGTTATGAAACACTTGAAAGGAAAAAGAATGAAGTTATGAAACATTACAAGAACTTTTGTATTAAGTCTTTTACTGAAAAGAAAGGGGCCACCTTTTGTAGATTCAACAATTTCTTGTTGACGGTAGCAGCATTTCCATCACCCTCCCCAAATGAACCCTTTATCTGCAAGGAAAGATAAATGATTAATTGATATGCAGAGGGAAAACTCATTAGTAACAAGCCAAGATTATGTCGTTCGACTGATCCATTCGTTAACAAGCCATTTAACTCAAGGATTCCCTTCCAAAGATTGAACCCATACCCACTTCGGCAGGGATATAGGGAAATAGAGTGATAGAACCCATACTTGGTTTTTCCAAAGTGGTTTCAATTGTCTTTCGATGCAGATTTCATTTTCAAAGACTAATCTTTCTTTGACAATCCTTACTGTTCTAAGCATGCAATGACAGAGTCCAAAATTCATACGAAAACTAATTTTCCACAATAATAAGTTTATATTAACTCCAATCAGAATATAGGAAAACGGATGATATGTACAGGGAAAATTTGTGGACAACTGACAACACCATTAAGAATGATCATGAAAAGTGCACATTTGTCTTGTTTAAACTACCCTTGAAATCCACTAAATTTTATTTTGCTAGTAAGAACAAACCACATCACAGAAAAGACCAAATTAATCTGTCATTGCTCAAAAACCCATATAATTGATGCCAGATTACTGAAAACAAAACCCATATCCAGAATCCTAACAAAAACTAGGATGGAATTAAAGACCATGTAAGTTACGTAGAATTCATACCAGAAAAAGGATTGTATTTACAGCTAAATGCCTAGTGAGAGTACTTGGACACAGATGAACATGCTGAGTCACGATTGGCGATCACTTCACTTCCCCAAGCATTTGCATTAAGTTACAACTAGAAGAATGACTAAAGCAAAACTACATTATACAATACATTGCAACGATATGAGGCTTCTGGAGGAAATTAGCAAGATTCAAATTTTTATAGGCATCAAGAGAGATAGAAACATACAGGGAAAGAGGTGCTTGGAGAGAGTATGATTAGGAATGTATTGTGCCACCAACAGCCTCTCATTTCCCTCACCAATCTTTTGTGCCTAAACTTCCCAACCGTAGCCGCCTCCGCCTTCATCCAGATACAACACGAACAACTGCATCAGTTCAGAAACTCAAAGAGGCATAAAATGCACAAACTCAGCGGCAATTGCATACCCAAAAAAATCGGGGCCTTTCGCAATTCAAAACAATTCTGAAAATCTGAGCTCATTAATCTAAATATCATTTGCGTAATGTATACATATATATATGTGTGTGTAAATCAATGGACGGAGAGAGTAAGGAGATGAGTGAGAGTAGTACCTGATGATGATTGAGAGCGGGTGAGACGGCAGAGGTTGTGACGGTTGTCAACACTAGCTATGGAAGATGAAAGCTTAGAAATCTAGAGAGAGAGCTCGAAGAGAAAGAACGATAATCTGCAATAAACTTTTCTCATTACAGTTAATGAATTATTACAAGGGTTTATTTCACTGTAAATACATGTCAGCATAACTAACTCAACTTATACAATCCAATGACACATGTCACAATTCTAACCACTAATATATGCTAACATTCCCTCTCAATCTTATGTCTTAGTGGAACCAAGCATAAGATTGGAACAGTGTGTTGTAAACAAAGAAGAAAATAAGTCTTTTGTGAAAATGCCTGCATATTGGTCTGTTGAAGCAACAAATTGCACTGAAATGACACCTTGTTGAACTCTTTCTCTCACAAAATGACAATCCACCTCTATGTGTGTTGGCTTTAGAGTGCAAGATAGGATTAGTAACTGAAGTCATGGTTGAGATGTTGTCATAGTGTAAGAATGAAGGAGAAGAAGTGTTAATATGAAGGTCTTTTAGAAGTCGTTGAAGCAAAACAATTTCGACAGTGGTGGTTGCCATAGCCCTGTATTTAGCCTCTGTCGAGGATCTGCTATTTGTGTGTTGTTTCTTAGAACTCCATGAAACTGGATTGGAGCCTAAGAATACAATAAAACTTGTAGTAGAATGCCTATCATTGGGATCACCAACCCAATCAGCATCTGTGGATGCTTTTAAAACCAATGAACCAGGTCTAAAACAAATGCCCCAACCTAAAGTACCTCTGAGATATCGTAAAATTCTCTTGACAGCAACATAATGAGATTCCATAGGAGAATGCATAAATTGGCACACTTGATTCGCAGAATAGGCAATGTCAGGTCTTGTAAAGGTTAAGTACTGTAGGGCTCCTACAATGCTCAACTAGGGCTACCATGGTTCAAGAGTTTCTGATTAGGATGACATGGTGTGATACAAGGCTTACATTGCAGCATGTCTGTCTTTTGTAACAAATCTTGGACATACTTTGACTGGTGTACAAACAACCCTTGAGACTGATAATCAATTTGCAAGCCAAGAAAATAGTGTAAAATCCCCAAATCCTTCATGTCAAACTCTATGGTTAATTGAGATATAACAGGCTGAACACAAGTATCACTATCTCCAGATATCATCCACATATAAAAGTAACACAACTATGTTTTTGCCATCATGCTTGACAAACAATGAAGGATCGGCATAAGAAGATTTAAAACCCAATGAAAGTAAGAAAGTAGTGAACCCTTCATTCCAAGCTCTGGGAGCTTGTTTGAGACCATAAAGTGACCTTTCTAATTTGCAAACATACTCTGGGTGGATCTTGTCAACAAAACCTTGGGGCTGGGACATATATACCTCTTCCTCAAGAAACCCATGTAAAAACGCATTCTTGACATCAAGTTGCTTAAGTTTCCATCCTGATTTGCTACTAAAGACAATATGAGTCTCACAGTGGTTGGTTTCACCACTGAACTGAATGTTTCATAATAATCCAATCCAGCCTCTTGAGAAAAGGCTTTGGCCACTAATCTGGCCTTAAATTTGGCAATCAACCCATCTGGATGTCTTTTGACCTTGTACATCCATTTACATCCCACCAGATTTTTATTTGCAGGTAATGGAACAAGTTGCCATGTGCGTTGCTGCACTAAAGCATCCATTTCTTTCTGCATAGCTGTTTTCCACTGTGTCACCATCGTTTCGTTAAACTTCTGGTCACTTGCTTCATGGTGAAACACTGGGAATATTCATAAATGATTAGAGCCTTCTTATGCTCTCAACTTTTGGCCCCTTTGGTGCGGACACATCTCTGCCAAAAACCATAAAGCTTTTAGGCCTAATTTTCAAACCAAAGAGCGATGATTGTGCTTCTACAGGTTAATTGTTGGATTGCCCTTATTTTGTACATGGAAATATTTTGGCAGAGCTTGCTGAGATGATAATAGCCTTTAACATGGAGATGTGTACAAATTTCGGATTTTTTTAATTTTTTTTTTTTGCTATGAAATATTTTTTCGGCATTGTTGGTTTCTTGCTATGCGTTTTACTATTGTATGGTTTGTAAAAGTTCATAGAACATACAATTCTTTCACTCATTGCCTAGCAAGTGCCTGAGAGATACAAAATGTTGTCTGTGTGATCCATTTACATTTAAATTTTAAAATTTGCTTGAGAACTTGCTAGGGCTCATATAAGCACTGAAAGCAACATTACAAAATCTGCAGGCAAGATCCAGATGCCCTGGTGCATTCCATGATGAACGAAAATAACTCGCATGCAATGGGATACACCTCTTTTCTTCCTTCCCGCTTCTTTTCCTCATCTTTTGATGTCCGAGAAACGAAGAGAAGGGTTATATCTAGGTTGCATGAAAGATTCCTTAGAAATGTTTAAGGTAATGATAGGGAGACTAAATTTAATTAGAGTAATGTTAGGGAGACCAAATTTTTTAAACCAAATGATGTGTCACCAATAAGAAACAAACACGTTAATCGACACTTAATTAATAATCCAATCATCTACAACCACATCATTTAGTTTGCAATTTTGGTTTCCCTAGCATTACTCCTAAATTTATAGACCAAATTTTGCAAACTAAAGGACATGGATGTTGATGATTAGTTTATTAACTTAAACATTGATAAACGTGCTCATTTGTATTGGTGAACGTCATTTGGTTTGCAAATTTAGTCTCCCTAACATTACCCAAATATTTATATAAAAGTTTTGCGGATAATCATGTAATTAGTTAAAGATTCTATGATTGGTGTTGAAAACTGGATTAAGAGTAGTGTTTTTTTTTTTTCCCACGTCTTCTCATGGAATTAAGGGTTGAAATGCAACAGGTGTGATTAGAAGACAAATACAATCATTAGCTTTTGTTTCAGGTTAAGGACCAAATTATTCTGCTTCCCTCTCAATTGGTAATTGTGGCAAACTTAGAGAAAGAATGAAAACTGTTTGAGAATGAATCTCATATTATATGAGCTTGTAAGGAGTTGGGAAATGTCAAGATCTTTCTAGTGCTTTTGGAGTATTTGAGGGACTCTCGGTCTGCTCTTTCGTGGGCTTGTAAGTTAGTCATGGTTTCATAAATCTTCTATGGCCGTTCAACTCTCTTTACTATTGTTCGATGCCATCATTCTCAAAAAGGAAGAAGATATATACCGTTATTTGGTCCGCCGTTTCTTCTCTCTTCCATTTTCAAATGCTAATCTTGTGTTAATCACACCCAAAAATGGAGATACAGGCTAGCATAAGAGTTAAGCACTTACCAAAAAGAAACAATATACATCTTCTTAGAAAAATGCACTTCGTTGTTGGTCACAATTATATTTTTTGGTCTTAACGTACGTCTTTATTATTTGTCAAACATTTTTTTCATTGCACAACTTAATTCTAACGGTGTAGAAATTAAATATATATGTATGGGCTTAATGTACTCTATCAACCTAAAAAATGCTTCCATAAACAATGGAAATTGGTTTTAACATGGAATTCATGAGCTATGATTACTTTATCCTTTTGAAACAAAACCGAATAATTGCATTTTGCCAATCGACTTGTTTTCTTTCACACCTATTACATTTCAACCCTCAATTCCATGAAAAGATAAAAAAAAAAAAAAAAAACCTTTTGTCATTTTTGAACACTATGATCAATGCTTTAATTGATTTAATTGAATACATGATTATCTGCATCAAACCCTCACTAAAGTAGTTCTAAAGAAACGTTCATACAACAAGGACATACGTTATTTGCGAGAAATAGCAGATGAAAGGATATAACCTTTCATGTTACTTTCTTCAAGTGCCATAGTTACTGCTCTCATAGTTGCTAGTGTTATCATCATAAACGCTAAACTCTAGAACTAAAATAACTTATCCGTAACGCGGATGTACCCCTTTTTGTCCTTTCCTATGCTTTTTCTCACAGATAATGGATATCTCCCTTACATGAAAGTTTTTTTAGAACTACTTTTGGAAGAGTTTTGGTGCGGATAATCATGTAATCCGTTAAAACATCTATGATTAGTGTTGAAAAATGACAAAAGGGTTGGTCTTTGCTCAAGGAATTGAGGTTTGAAATGCAACAGGTGTGAAAGAAAGACAAGTTGATTGGCAAAATATAATCAGTAGCCTCTTCTTCAAGGGGATAAAGTAATCACAATTTATGAATTCCATGTTGAAACCAATTTTCCATGGTTTATGGAAGCATTTTTTAGGTAAGTGACCAAATAATTATGCTTCCATCTCCTCAATTATTCTTAAAAGAAGTAAATTAAGCCCATACATATATATTAGATTTCGACACCAGTCGGTAAGTTGTGCAATGAAAAAATTTCATGGACAACGGTTGATAAATAAGAACAACGTACATTAAGTTGTTGAAGGAATATAATTATATTCGGTAACGAAGTGCATTTTTCTGAGATTCATATCTTCTTTTTGGTAAGCGTTTTAACTCTTATGTTAGTCTGGGCTGGTTTTGTATTGCTGTGCTTTGAAAAAAAGATGCTTTTGCTGTGCTGTGAGAATAAGCAGCTGTGAAATAAAACAGTGGAGTGTTTGATAAACTTTTTTGTAAAAGTGCTTTTGAAAAAAGAAAAAAAAAAGCAGTATTACAGTGTTTGGTAAACTTTTATGTAAAACAGATGTGAAAAAAAGTCGATTTTTCAAAGCTGGGTTTTGCAGTTTATTGTTTTTGGCCTTTTTTTCACCCAAAACTATGAAAAAAAAAGCTGAAACTGAATGTTTACCGAACACAAAAACAGCTTCTAACTTTTTTTTATATCAGTTTTTTTTTTCAGGACCACCTCAGTACCAAACTAGGCCTATATCTCCATTTGGGCAGGCAATATAACGGTATATATCTTCTCCTTTTTTGCGAATGGCGGCGTCGAGCAATAATGAAGACGGTTACGGCGGTGTAAGGTTTAAGAAACCACGACTAACATGCTCTTTGAGCACCTTGACCATTGCTATATAGAAGTATCAACCCTTGCTGTTTTCTTGAACAATTTGTCCCAAAGAGAGATAAGGGTTTGAGAGCCTGAGGGTTGGAGCACCATGTCTAATGAGGAAGCTGAGGAGGATAGAAGGCAATCTCAGTGTGCAATGACTTGTGGAAACACAGTAAAACAGGTGAGAGTATGCAATGCATCTTAAATCCCTAATCTATATTTAACCTTCTTCATAAATCGGTATTAGTCAGATAATTACCGCTTCGAGCATCCTTAATACTCAGTTTAATCTCTGCTTTTCAGTTTGATGAGCTGATTAAGAATTTAAGATGATGGACACCAGGAGCAGACTGTCTAAGCGACGAAAGTTATCTCCAGCAAGATCACTTATTAGCTAATTTCGATTAGTTCAATGTTTATATCTTACCTAATTATGTGCATGCTAATCTGCAATGCAATTAAATTCTCAGTTTCTCCTTGCTTTTATACATGACAAAATTCTACAACTGCTCCTGCCCCAGAAAGTCAACTGGAGGACAATGAAGTGTTTGTGCGGACAATAACAAGATTTCTCCATGACCTGAGAACTAACACTTCAGAACCTGACGGCTCCACAACCCCCGGAGATCGAAACTCGTTCTCTTCCTGTAGGGAAAGATTGCGGGAGGGGTACGATTATCTTAAGTATTAACTGTATTTAGTGGCTAATTACTGTCGGTGAATGCCTGACTAGATAGGCCAGCATGGGAATCATGTAATGCCTGTTCATTTCTTAGAGTTGCTCCACACAAACTCTTTATCCAGTTTTTATTCTCTTTACCAACAAAAAAAATGGGAAAATTACTACTAGTATAGAACAATAACAGAAATTTTAAATAAAGCCAAACGAACAGAGACAATCGGACATCTGATATTTCACGCTTTCAATCAAATGAATTACAGGCTCTGAAAAACCATGGGATCTATAACAAGAAGGAATTTTACAAGAAAAGAAAATGGTACATTCGAGGTTGAACAATTTACAATGGTTCCTCAGCATGAAGATAAGTAAGATGCAAACAGGAAATATCATTGTATATTTAGTAGAAGAAATGCAGTCATTACCCGAATACCTCAGTTTCCCGGAAAGCAGCATGGATTAAAAGCTGTAAGGGGGCACGTGAATCTTGTCCAAAAATATGTGTTTGATCGTTTAAGTAACCACTGAAGCTAAAAACTTTCCAACTGGTGTTCTTATGGTCTGTTGAGACCGAGAGCATATGAATTGGACAAAATGAAAAATGCGGTGACTTTTATTTTCCTGGGAAATATTTTCAGGACTTGTAAGAAAAGGAAGGATTCAAACCTAAGGGAACTTTCAAGCACACGACACTAGCACATCATTGTCCATCTGAACCGATAAGGGAAAAGAGAGATAAACTTTGATGTAACATCAAAATCCGCAGTTTATACACATTATTTGGGTTCAGAGCATATTTGATTTGTAACAAACGATATTTAATAATACGAGCAAGCCATCCTCAGCATGGTTTCTAACGAGCTCCTAAATATGGTTTACTAAAGGGTGCATAAAAGTGGATGACATTGAAAGAAGATAAACGTTTGAGCGGCAAAAGAATGAAGTTATGAGACATTACAAGAACTTTTGTACAAGTCTTTTACTGAAAAGAAAGGGGTCACCTTTTGTAGATTCAACAATTTCTGGTTGACAGTAGCGGCATTTCCATCACCCTCCCCAAATGATCCCGTTATCTGTAAGGAAGACAAACAATTAATTGATCTGCAGAGGGATGATCATGACAGGCACTGAAACTTCTTAGTTACATCCCAAGATTATGTCGTTAGACTGATCATTTAAAGGAAAAGTCATTTAAATCAAGGATGCCCTTCCAAAGATTGAACCCAAACCCACTTTGACAGGAATATAGGGAAATAGAGTGATAGCACCCTTAGTTTAGTTTTTCCGAAGTGGTTTTAATTATCTTTCGATGCAGAGATCATTTTCAAAGACTAATCTTGCTTTGACAATCCTTACTATTCTAAGCATGCAATCACACTCTCCAAAAATAATACGAAAACTAATTTCCCACAACATTGAGTTTATATTAACTCCAATCAGATTAGTGTATAACAATGACAACTTACAATCAATACCAGCATTAAACACACAAATGAAAACTCTAATTGTTGAAAAAGTGATGTAAATAAATTTAAAGAACGGAAGAATATGACGCGAACCTGTTTGAGTTGATTCATACACTTGGTAGCCTTTTCGGCTTCTTCATTGTATTTCAGCCTCCACTCAGCAGATTCATCCATTGCTTCCCTATTCGCAAGGTCAAACTGCTGCCTACAAGATTTCGATAGAAGAGCATATAAAATTGAGTGACAAACTCTCTAAACCAAAACTAGAAACAGAAATAACAAGTAAACTCCCACATACAACTAAACCCCAAAATCCCATAGAAATAAAAATAAACCCAGTTCATTCCATGGAAACATTATTAACATTCGTGCCATATGAAGCTGTGAAAATTAAAGTGTACATGTGAGATCATATAACAATAATACCGAGTATGAACCATATGAGCCCAAACACAAAGTTGGAATTTCTCATCAATCACTAATGGAAAGTAAAATCTAAGAACTTGGGCTTAATTTAATTGAGGTTATATCTAATGGGAATTCATTCATTCAATCATTCATGGAATCCGCAAAAACTATGAACCCTTGAGAAGAAATTTGAGATTTGCAGTAGAAAAAGATGAGATGGGAAGCAAACAGCAAACCTGACGAGCTCGGATTCATCGGAAGAAATGGAGTAGTCGATGGTCCAGAGCCGCAAGTAGACAGCGATTCCTAGAAACATGACCAGTACCAAACCCACCAGTATTTTCTTGCTCCCTCTACTACCACCCCCCAATTTTTTTTTTTTATAATTTTATTCTCTCTCTCAGTTGCTCAAGCTTCTGCAACTTCTCTACAGGCTTCAGCCATAAAAAACCATCTAGCCGATCGGTTAAGAACCCAGGCCTCAATTACTCCACAGTGGACCCAACAACATAAATTCGACTTTATGGTACTTTTTCTTTCGGCCTAATGTTGTAATTAGAATTTTTCTTACAGTACTACAGTTCAGTGATAATTTTTACTTGTAAGTAAGATGTTTTAAGTTTAATTTTTGCCAAAAACGAATTTAAACTATATTATTGATAGGCCATTATAAGGCTAAACCTACTCCTATAGTTTAGATAATGTTGTTTGTGCATAAAAAACTATACGAGTGATACTAGAGAATGGTGAAATTGAACTGCATTTGGTGCATAATATAATTGTACAGAATAAAATTGAAATTGTGGTTTATTCAATTTGCGTTTAGATAGAGTGTTGGCATTTGTTCAATATTGAAAATTAAGAAACGTTTTTAAGTACAGAAAAGTTTAATGTACAAGTTGATTAAAGCGTGTCACATTGAAAACACTGTTTGTAAATATAAGTAGGGTTCAGTATAACAAGGGTAAGAGGCTACATTAGCCTCACGTGCGGGAAGAATATGATTTCTCCTCTCTAGTAATAAGAGAGTAACTTAAATGGAACGAGTTCACCAACATCTCTATCCGATGATGCAATGTATCTGGGGAGAAATTTACTTATTACCTTGTATATTGTTAGACCGGAAACCATTAGTAACAATAAACCGGTTCTAAGTGAGTCTCTCTGCACTGATAGTAATACGTGAGCAAAAGACTCCAACAACACGTACGCCGTCATCCCTCTCCTTCCTAGATCCTAGTAGTTGGAGAAGCTTGACTTTCAATCTGCCACTAATCCAATCATCCCTGGCTCCCTGATCCACCGGCCGTAACGGCACCACAAATCAAATCAGATTCCGTTGACTTCTGAACCTAAAGAACAGTGGGTAAGAGATCATCGAGGGTTAACGTTCTCCCTCTTCAAATCGGCTATTTTTTTTGTGAAAATATGACTTTAGCCCTTCAAACTTAATTTTCTTTATATAAAACCCTACATAACTTTTTTACTCAAAGAAAACCCAATGATTAGGATCCACATAAGCAAATTCATTAACTTCATATTAATTCACACATTTTACATTTTTCACATGCCTAAAATACCCCTATTACATACTTGATGTAGACAATTAATTGTAAGGAAATAGTAAATGATTTTGTGACAAGAAAAAAAAAAGAGACATTAATGTTAAAAATTTATTGCATATTAATTTTTTAGAAAGGTATTGAATTTTCATAAAACTATTTGATTTAGTTTTTTCACCCTACTCTTGAATACTTTTGAATTTATCCCTTTTTTTTATTAATATATTAGAACATTGTATTTCATTATCTACATGCACATTAATTTACCTACGAACAAGTATACCATGGGTGTAATTCGATGTATATTAGGAAGAAATGTAGTTCGATGTATGGTATTAAAAATAGTATGTTACACCCATATTTATACAACAATAAAACGTGCCTAACATATCTAACAATACATGAAAAATAATTTACCTACCAATTAATATGGATAAAATTGCTACAAAATATATCACGAAAAAAAAAAACTACTTTTCTAGTTTGACATAGATACGGTTAATGCAAACACTTTTTTCATTTTATTTCACTTTTTCTACTACTTTTAATTTGGCATAAATTTAGGAATTTGGAAAAGGGACCATAAAGTATGAGTGGCATGAGTGTAAATAAATTGTATTAATAGGTCAATAGTGTTCCTATATGTTTGCGAATTTTAAATTTGGGCTTAAATTAGATCTTTAAAAATAGATGGGTTTTTATCTACAAATAATGAATTGTAAGGGCCAAAATCTAAAGCACCCATTTTTTTTTAATTTTAAATTTCTTGTTGAGAATAGATTATAACATTCTTCGAATATATCCAGTTTCCTAATCCTAATCGGTTCGGGTTTCCTATTTGTTTGTGTAATCCTATTTCCTTCAAATAATTTTATGTATATATGTATATACATGCAGGTGCGAGAGTTCATACAATTACATTGCACTGTTACACTTGTATAAGACGATTCAGCGGCAAGCACCAAACTCCAAATCTTCCTCGTGTCGTCGTGTGGTGTCTAATTAAATATGGGTTCAGGTATGCTCTTTCGATTTCAGTTCTCCAAGCAATTTACTTACTTTTATATCAGGATTCAATAGTCTAATTTCTAGTACTGTAATTTTGTTTTCTGTTTCAGCAGATTGGGCACAGTTGCGTACCAGCCTTTTGGATTTAGTTTTGGAGACATTAGTGTCACCAGCAGACTATTTGCACTTCGGCTGCGTTTGTAAGTCGTGGAACCATGCAGCAAAGGCTAATAAAAAGCAACGTGCTCTTGTGTCAACTTTCTGTCCTCCGTTGCTCTTGATATCTACCGGCAAAAACGGGACGTGGAGGTTATGCGACGCAATGAATAACAAGGTGTTTGATTTGCAACTCAAGTTGTCGAACAAGCGGTTTTGTGGTTCTTCAAAGGGATGGTTAATAGCGGTGGACCAAAGTCAAACCATAACCCTAACAAATCCACTATTGAGGCACAAGGGAAGGCGAATGAAGGACAATTCAATCATTCGCCTCCCTCCGCTCACTCCACGAGATGAGCATGAATTGTTGATGCACCCCTCAATATGTAACTACGGAGTCTACAAGGCTACAATCTCGGCGGATCCAATATTATTTGCAGAGGATTGCATTGTTCTTGTCATCTACGAGGACCTATTGCAGTTGGCATTCATTAGACTCAAAGACACAAAATGGACTTATGTTGATAGGCGATGGAAAATGTTGGAAGACGTTGTTTGCTTCCAAGATAATTTTTACCTTGATAACCGAAGAACACTCTTGTCGTTTCATCTTACCCGTCGGTCCTACACAAAGGTAAGCGTAATTGCAAAACCCAAGAAACCAGAGGATCCTTGCTTCAAGACATATCTCGTGAATTCAAATGAGGAAAAATTGTTGATGGTTCAAAGATTTATTTGGGATTTTGAAGATGGAACACGAGACACGACGGAATTTAAAGTTTTTGAATTGGATTACGCTAAGTGTAAGTGGATAGCGATGGACACCTTACGTGATACGGCACTCTTTTTGGGTGACAATTCTTCAGTATGTGTGTTGGCCTCGAAGTTTCCAGGATGTCAAGCGAATTGTATATACTACAATCACGATGCTGATCGTATGAGCTTTGATGTCGGGCCTTATGGACCGCATGATTTTGGTGTGTATAACGTCATCACGGGACAAGAGATTTCAAAGCCGTACACCAAAGATGTCATGGCCTTTTTAAAGAACAGCCGGAAACCTCCAATATGGATTGTGCCAACTTTGCAGTTGTAAAAAGATTGTTTTGCTTACTCTAGAAGCTTTTTATATATCGTTCCTATTTTATCGGATGTCCCTGAAAGGGACCGCTGGAAATTAATTACGTGCACTTCTTTTCTTTTTTTCATTTTTTTTTTTTTGGTTGCTGTAAACATACAACTCCACTAATTGAAATTTGATTTTACTTTTATGTTGCTTGGTTGTATATACTATTTTGTGACTTAGCCCAGATCACCCTTTGGTAAAATCTCTTTTGATTTATCAAAAAAAAAAAAAAAAAGAATTTTAAGTACTCAGAATTCCATAAATTTTTGTTATGTGAAATTAATTCTTAGTTCACATGGCATTTGTTACTTATTTATTTTTTATTTTGTTTTGTGAAACCACAAAATTGTTGTATTAGGTTGTAGATTAAGGAGTTGACGGAATTCATCTCCAATCTTGTGGTAGAGGACCACTTGCATTTGCGAACTTATGTTCATTATCACCCCATTTTGGCAAAGGAGATCAAAAGTAATGGTGGAAAGCCAATTAAATCAACCAAAATACAAGTTAATAAAATAAATTCCAAAAACCACAAACCAAATCCATTTTCAAATATTCATATCAAAATTCAGGGATAACATTTTTAAGAGCTACTACGAAAAGCAAATAAAATTAAAAAAAAAAAAAATAAAAAAAAAACACACACACACACACCACACTTTGCAAATTACAATCATTCTAATTTCTCGTCTTCCAGTGACATCTCCATCTCCATCTCCATCTCCATCGCCTATCCATGTCTTCGTTGGAGGTATCGTTTTAGTCCTCTCTACTTTCATCAAAATGACTACGCTAAACTCAACAATAAAAAAATTACGAAAAAGAAATGCACAACAACAATAATCATGTTGCAAACAGCATACAATACACCTACAGATTAACAGGAATAGAAAAAGATGGAAAGCTAAAAGCATACTAGACAACTATAAATTCGTTACCATAATCTCCGTCCTTGAAATTAGTCGCCATGTCTTGAATACATGTAAACCAATGCTAATCGAGCTTTCTATAACTACATTACTACCTACATATAGAGAAAATCATGCCAGCATTTTTATACTTCTATGTTTTCTGTCATTGGTTGAGAGGAGCGGCGGTAACTCAAATAAGCATGAGAAGAATTATAGAGGAGATGACAGGGTAAAGAAGTCTATGGATCAACTGAGAAAAACAGAGGTGGTGGTGACTGAATACTCCCCTTGCGAGTGCCTCTCTCTTCATTTGCTCTATTCGTCGTATTGAGTTGCTATCGTAGTTTTACAACTTGGACGTCTTAACTGTTAAGTCCTTTTATGAACTATAGCTAAACTAAACGGAGCACTGATTAAATTTATCACTGCATAATCATTCAACCGCATCGACCACGCACTTTGTTCAGGTGCCATAAGTGCTGTAAATTATGCTTTTGTAGTTTATAGTGTTACCATCCATTGTTTCTTACCACACGAAGACATCATGTCATCCAAGACTGAACAAGTTCATTCTAGAATAATCAGCATCATAGGAGCTGACAGGGTTCGAGCCTCTACTGTGATGCAAGAGCAACACTCCTCTCCACCATTGCGGTAGAGGGCCACTTGCATTTGGCAAAAAAGATGAAAAGTAATGGTGGAAAAATTTGAGTTTGCCCAATTAGGGAGTGATGCAGTTCACGTAGAAGCTGCAAAGAATAGGAAGGGAAATAACCATGCACAAGCTAAAAGAAAGAGAATAGGAAGGGCCATATTTTCCGGGAAAATATTTTCAGGACTTGTAAGAAATCGAAGGATTCAAACCTAAGGTACTGTGTGGTACGTGGGATAGGACAGAATGTAGTGGGACGAGGCGTTCCGTCCCGCGTTTGGTATGCCAAATTGACTGGGACGCGCTGTCCCGTGGAACGAGTTTTAGCCATTTTTTCGTTGCACCTTCCCTCCTGGAACGACTTGTTCCAACCCATGAAACACAAAATTGTAATTCTTTTGAACAACAATACCCCTTCTCCTTTTCATTAATTCCACTATCTACCCTCCCTCGCTCTCGTAGTCTCCTTCTCTTCGAACCCAATCCCAGCAAATCCATCCGAACCCAATCCCAGCTTCCTTCCGCCGCCTCCCTCTCTCACCGCCTCCCTCCTCCTTGGTTAATGCCACAGTCTCTAGAACGTTGACATGGAAGGTTGCTTGATGAGATGCTCTCACAGCGGCACTCTCCTTATGATGAAGAGCCACGATTGTTTTCCAAAATTAAAAAAATTATAATTAACATTTCATTCAAGAGTTAACCAAATCCAAATCCCTAAATATAGAAAACCCTAATTGCACACCTTATTTGGAACAACAATGGTGAAGGACAAAGGGTCAACGACGACACTGTGATAGACGGGGATGGACAGAGGAACTCCGCAAGGATTGGTAAGTGACGAACGAATAAGTGGAGGATTGGTTAGTGAATGAGTCTGAGAGAGCAGAAGGTAAGAGTCGATCAATGGTGTGGGAATTGAAATTGAGGGTGTAGATTGAATATATAAAAGGATTTAAATCCGCCAAACAAATTCTTATGCATTGGTGATGAGTATATAACGCAACTTGAATAGTAAATTCTTATTTAACAATTTATTTGGCGAATTCAAATTCTTTTATATATTCAATCTACATCCTTAATTTCAATTCCCACACCCTTGATTCAACTCTCACCTTCTGCTCTCTCAGACTCATTTACTAATTAGTCCTCCCTTTCTCTGTTCGTCACTCACTAATCCCAGCGGAGTTCCACCATCCATCCTCGTTTGTCGCAATGTCATCCCAAACCCTTTGGCCCTCACCATCTTTGTTCCAAGTAAGGTGTGCAGTTAGGGTTTTCTATATTTAGGGATTTGGATTTGGTTAACTCTGAAAAAAAATGTTAATTATAATTTTTTTAATTTTGGAAAACAATTGTGGCTCTTCATTGTAAGGAATAGATAATGCATGTCCAGGATTATGAAAGAGTTTTAATTATGGTGTTGGGGATTTGCTAATTTTGTTGTGTTTGGCTTTGATTTCTTGACTGATTACTTTGATTTGGAGATGATTTGTTGTGTGTGATTTCGGTGGATTATACCATAGATTTGGGGTTTTGACTGATTGCTTTGATCTACCACTTTGGAAATGTTTTGTTGTGTGTGTGTTGGACCATATTCCTAATTATCTTTGATATACAGATATGGCAGCAACACCACAACTAGAACCAAAACAAGAACAATCCCCTCATGTAAGTTTGTGTTCCGTAGCATGATGAATATGTCTGTGTTCCGGAGCATGATGAATGTGTGTGTCATCTAGTGTCTGTCTTATTTAAATTTTTTTTGTTTTTTGTAGAGTATAATAGAACCAATGAACAAATTAGACCCACGCGAATGACCCATAACCTCGCAGTTACAAGCCTTTTTGGACTGTGTGGGTTTAGGATTTCAGGTAGATAAAACTATGATAGATATCTTGGTTAGATGCTATAATAAGGATGATGGGAGTTTTATATTCAATGAAAATCGTTGCTACTTCAATTTAGTAGATGTTCAAATAATAACAGGCTTGCGAGTAGATGGCAAGCCTGTATTGGGTAGGATGACCTACTTGCAGAGACTTTTCAAATGCAACCTGATGGTAAAATCATTAAGAAAAGGAAAATAAAGTTATCGTGGCTCAGGAAGACCTTCTTCAAGTTAGTGGTAAGTGAGGGTGATCCTCTCTGGGATCAATACATTAGGGCATATTTTCTGAACCTCATCGGATCTTATATAGCACCCGATACGACCACTGGGAGTGCGCATTCCCACTACTCGACTATCTTAGGTGATATCGAAGCTGTTGGCCAGTATCTGTGGACCACCATGCATGATAAAAGAGGCAAGATGAATGGCATGTATGCGCTAATGGTAATACTCTAATTAAATTTTTTATATTTATTTTACTTGGTTATTTTTTTTTTTTTTTATTTTTTTAATTTTGCAACTTACATTTCGTCTCTTGTAGGTGTTTGCCATTGAGCATATAGGACCACTCTGTGAAAAGCTCATAGGAAACGTTGAGCTTCCTACAGAATTGCCATTGACGGTGCCTTGGTCCCACATCTTACACAAGGTGATACACGGGAACACGCTTCGAAATGGTCAGAGTTACATCCACAGTTTAAACAACTTACGTAAGTATTTTAAAATTTTTAACCTTTTAGACATAATGGCGCATTATTTTAACTTTTTAATTTTTTTTATTAAAGCTCGTCCAACATCCCTACCAAAGGCTTAATCTAGAGCCTTATGCTCGTGAGCCTGGTATGGCTTGTTAAACGACGATATTCATCAACTACTTTGACCTCGCCATTCACAATCCAAAGGTGTGCCATGTTCAATTTGGGCTTGAGCTAGCATTGATTCCTGCTTTTCCTAAAATCTTGGTGTACCCAAAAATGGGACCAAGGATAGAGAGGAATCTGATGATGATGAACGGTATAACCTTTACACTTGGGCTTGGTTGGAAAAGAGTCCATTGCCTGGTAAGCCAAGTTTTTTATTTTATTTAATAATTTGGTATCAGTGGAGCCAGCCTGCTCAACTTATTTTTGGTACATTAATATTTTTTTTTTTGAGTTATGCATTAATTTATTAACTCTTTTTGATTACACGTCTAGCTGGTTTGACATGTCCGCCATGGATGGTGGATGATCATGTGCCCCATTACTCTTGTTGGAGGATCATGTGTCAGAGGATTAGGTGCCCCTTTAGTGTCGAAGGGTCATGTGCCTCCCTTACACGTGCCGGAGAATGAAATGTCACCCTCACACATGTCGGAGGATCAGGTGCTCCTCTTACACATGTTGAAGGATCAAGTGCTTTTCTCACATAGGTTGGAGATGATCAGGTGATTCTGCCACACGAGCTGGAAGATTAGGTTCCCTTGATCACCCCTCCATCATTAATGACGATCACCTATCCACCATCATTGCTGCCAAATGACAGTCTGTTGACAGAGACAAAGGCAGCGGCGGTAAAAATAGCCGCGATAGAGGTGATTGTGGCAGAGACTGTGAGGGCCCCACATATCTATACCAGAAAAAAGATGGGTCAAAATCAAATAGGAGTCATCGATGCACCACCAATCGGGCGGGAAGGTAGCGTTAGTAGTTGAGGGGTCATGATGCTGCATAATCAGAAGTCTATAGCATCACTAGTTTCCCTAGTTGCACCATAGAGGGTAGTGCCAATTGTTGGGGGTCAGGATGCTGTAGAGTCAGTAGTTTATGCATTGTCAGTTGCTACCCTAAAGGATGCTCTTCAACATAAGTATGATTTTAGGACAATCTTAAAAGGTATAACAATGTATGTTTTTGAAAAATTGGAGGATATTAAAAGGAATAAGGATCGTAAGGATAAGGATACATGACAAGATTTGAACAAAAAAAGGGAGTTAATTGCCCCAGTGATGGGCAAAGAAAGGTACAGGAGGAAAGGCCTTTCAAGTGGAGGCTGCGCCTGAGGAGTCAATTGCCCTGGTCGTGGGAAAAGAAATGGTAGAGGAGGAAAGGTCTCTCAAGTGGAGATTGCGCCCGCCGAAGGCTAACAAGTGATGCAACTTAAAAAGAAAGGTTGAACCAATATGAAGATGTCTCCTGCCTCTCTGCTTTGACCTCTCAAACTCGCCTCCAACGAAGATGTCTCCCGCCTTTTTGCATCGGACCCTTCGGACTCGCCCGTAAAGGATAACACCACTTTTACACTCCTTGTCATTATGAGTGATCCAGGGTCTTTAAGACTTTTGGTTTATATATTTCAAGTTCATGTTTATAATCATCTTAAGAACGTCGCAAAACGGCATTGCCCTAAAACAGTTGAACCATTTCTCAACATTCCATTATGCTCAACCGTCTTGATTTGTGACAGCTGAAAGATTACAAAAGCTCGAGGCCTTGAAATACATGTCTGCATGTTCGACCTAACAACGAAGAATGACTCCATATGTCACGCCCCGACCCTGAGATACATCTAGGATCGACATCTGACGTAACCACACACATGTCCGTCTTTTGATATGTCTAAACGAACCTGGCCAAATCTCGTTGATTTAGTTGAGTTTGAAGGTGTAGGACGACTCCCCACTACCAGTAAACCACAGAAGTGCTCCCTTAGACCACTCAACAAAATCTGATATTTTATTTCTCTAATTTTATCAATTTTTGTATAAGATGGGTAGAGAATTTGCATGAGTTGGTCATTGGTGAAAGAGAGTAACTTTTCAAATCTTGGTGTTACAGATTCTTACTTGTTTTTCTAAATAAAAACGATAGTTTTACTTTAACTACACTAGCGAGAGGGAGAAAAGTTTGAACCTGGACATAGTAGGTTGAAAAGGAAGATTCTAATCATCAAGACAGTTACCATTTTATTTTAGTTGTTAGGTGACTAATCAACCTTGTTGGGTTGTTAATGGGTAATTGTTAAGACACTTTAATTTGATATCACTATAATATAAAGGTGAGATTGGTAATGATGGTGTCAAATGAAATTTTAACAACTCAATGAGTTGATTTGCCATCTCCGCTTATAGGACTATATTGATTTGCAACACCTATTTTCAGGAATTATTTTGATCAACTTTCAATTTCAATGACTATCTTTATGAGCTGCGTCATTTTCAAAGACCATTTATGATAACTTTTTATTTATTTATTTTATTGGACAAAAGGAGAAGTTTGGTTGACGTAATTTGCTACTAACTTTCATTATAGTCTTAGTTCGGATCATACTTGGCTTGACGCTGTCTCTTTCTCTCTCTCTCTACTTTTTCATCATATCTTGTTCCTCTTTCCATTCATTCCCTTGCAATGCAAGCAAAGTTCCCATGTAAAGAGGAATCAACCACCACAACCACTGCTACTCTATATAGTAATATACATGATGAACGAATCTAACGGCCTTAATTTTCCAAGTTTTTCATATATAATAGCTAGCGGCCGCTACCGATGATATATGTATATCTTTGAATTATAACTAATGGGGATCTGTTTCGGGAAGCGGAAGAAATCGACGGCAGAGATAGTGCCGCAAAAACAGCCGACGACAACAGTCCGACTGTACGGCTCTCCCAGCAGCACAAACTACATCCGATTTGCCCTCAAATACAAGGAGGCGGCTGTCTCACTTCGCTGCGTGGTGGTCGCCAGATCTAATGACGACAACGACGACAATGACGAAGATTATAGAAACTTGGTGGTGGCGATGGAGGTGGAGGAGGGCGGGTCATCGTCGGAGCCAGCTGAGAGGGTTTCAGGGCCGCCCAATACTCTGCTGCAGTTGATAGAGGCCAGATTCCCTCATCCGCCGCTTCTTCTTCAAACGGGGTCGTCCTCTGAAACCCAACCGACGTCGCTGGTGGCGGCGGTGGTGAAGCTGACTGAGCTGCAACACAGGAGCCTGGCGTGGCACTTGGAGAGGTTGGTGAGGTGGGTTATGGATCTGTTGAAGCGTCCGGGTAAAGGAAGAGGAGGCGTGGTTGATCCGACGGTGGGGAGTGCTCGGATGGAGGTAAGGAAGCTGGGGAGGAACTACTCGCAGCTTTTGGAGCTGATGTTGGAACACGCTCAGATGGAGGAGAGACTCCTCTTCCCCATCTTCAACTACTGTGATCCAGGTCACATCTTCCTCTTTCCCAATTAAACTTTTACTTTTTTTTTTGGTATATATATATTTTCAGGATTGCAAAAATAAAGATACATGTAAGAATCTTCTATAAATATTTTCCGGCACCTAAATTTCTTGTCATTTGTAAGAATTTTCCATGAATATAATTTTGATGGAGTAAAAAACCGTAAGATTATATATGTAAATGCATATGGAAAGATTTTTCACACATACGCCATGTTGTATAATAACATAGGAGTAAAGAGAATAAATTAGCATTGAACTCGTCAGTTTTGAAATTTGAATATAAAATTTTTATTTATAAATGAAAAGAAATAATATTATACTGTAATATTAAGTGATATAATAATAAATTATTTTAAAAACCCAGCAAATGTCATTACTTAGCTAAAATGTTGAGTTAAAACAAGAAACTATTATTAACATTTCAAAAATCTCATTCTACACTTCTTATAAATTTTTTTTTTTTTTTCTGATTATAGATAATTTTAAGAACAAATGAGATGTTTAAAGTCTTAATAACAATTTCTTAAAACAATTATTATTAATAAAGTTAAGATGGTAAACTAACCAAATAATTATGCAGGGATCTGTAAAGCTGCGAATGAAGAACACGCAAGGGACCTACCCATCATGAACGGAATCAAAGAAGACATCAAATCCATTGAGGTTCTTGACATTGGGAGTCGTGACTACAAAGAAGCTCTTTCCAACTTTTCTAAGCGCCTCAAATCACTACAGGTGATCCATGTTAACTGCCTCTTGTCAGTGATTTATTAGTGTTATATACAATGTTAACTAGTGAGTAATTTAATATAACATTAACTGCATGTTTAAATTCATTCCATAGTCTCTTTTCATAATTCAAATTTTTTTTTTTTTTTTGAAACTTCACTCAAAAATCTTTCTTACAGATTTTATCCATATCGAAAAGCGTTTCAATACTAAATTGGGACAAAGAAAAAATAGAAACGCACAGTGTTGCTAAAAACACAATGAAATGTTTATAACAACAATCATATAAAATGATTTTTTATTTGGACGAATTTTTGTATGGAGATCTAAACAAAGGAAAGGTTTGGAACCTTGGAGGATGAGAGAATATTATACAGTGGGCATGAACACGTGATTAGTGTTGTATTAAGTTATACAATATAATAATATTCTACACATAATAATATTACTAAATATATATTTTATTTGGACTTAATATGTAGGAGCGTTATAGACAACACTTTACGGAGGAGGAAAGAGAAGTATTGCCGTACATGGAGGCCGCCGAGCTGAGCAAAGAGCAGCAGCAGAGACTATTGGACGAGTGTTTGGATGTGATGCAACAGTCACACTCATCGCATTTGTTCAATTTTCTTCTTGAAGGGTTACTTCCTCGTGAAGCCATGCACTACTTGGAATTAATCTCCATGTCCACCAACAAACAACGAACAACTTCTCTGCTTCACATGATCATTTAGCTACTTATAACATCAATCTAGCTAGGGTTTTTTTTTTTTTTTTTTTTTTGGCTATATTGATTTGTTGATTTTGATACTTTTTTATTTTATTTTATTTGGCTATTTTAATTTGTTGATTTTGATAAAAAAAAAAATTAATGATTATATAGCACGAACAATATTTCACTGAGAAAGTTAGTGAAACTTACATAGACTTGTGCAGTTTGAGACTTACATAGAAAACCAGCCACAAACTCAGATATGCCCCCTATCGATCTTGTTGGTCGGTCGGTCTACTAAAGCCAAATTGGTTCTACAGCTCCAGCCGTCAATTGGTATCACCGGTTGCCTCTAGAATCTCTTGTCGGACGATCTTTTTATCTGCCTTACTCAAGCCAAACTTGTAGATTAGGGCTCAAATCATATCATTATAATTCTTTTATGTTTCATTTTGGTAGTTCTAATTCTTTGTTTTATGTCTATTTGGTCTTATGGTTTACGAATAATTGATTATGTGATGCAATTTTATGCATCTAATACACAATGTTCGTTACTGTGTTTGTTCATGATAAATACATCTGGGAAGCAGCAATGAGTCTCCTGCAATAAGAGGTAAGCTCAATATAACCCGGATTTATTATTGGGAGAGAACTGAACTTCAGTTGTTTTTGGTCACGTTTGATGGTCCGCATGCGATTGAATTCGGCATTTCGGATTGATTAGGTTAGGACTGGAGTGGACATTTTAGGAGTTACAAGTAAATTGTTCGTTCTAGTCTCGTAAACACACAAAAGGAAAATGTTGTGGTCTCTAAAAACACGAAACATATGAACACGGTGTGAAAGAAAAGATTATGCTGAGTCATGTTTTTTATATCTCGATGCAATAATGCTCCTTTTGCATGATATGGTTCAACAAATCAAATATTGAAGTGCTTAATGTTTTCTATTTCTTATATAAGGTTAAAGTAACGCTTTTTCTTAACAAAAGAAAATTGTTTGCACTTGATTTGAACATTTTGATTGTGTGAGATATTGAAGCAAATTAAATGTGTTTGTCAAATGGAAGATATAAAGGATATGGGCGTGTTTACTTATGTTTATACTACCCTACTTTTGATTTTATTTTGAGCATTTATCCAAGATGTTTAAACACATAGTCCACACTTTTCAAATAATGGAACTACCATTTTAGATATCTTTGAAGAATAAATGGCGGATTTTACTTCAGTCGTGTTCTAGTTATTTTAATGTTTAATCCTAGCCATCCTCTTTCTACTCTTATTCATCCTCTTCGATGGCTTTTCTCAACACCTTGTACTCTATTGATGATTGGCTTTTAACACATTTTTTAGCTTATTCATACTGATGTCGTCTTTTGGGCTTCAACCTTTAGCAAATATACTGAACACTCTACTAACTTGTTTCCGATGAAGCAAGTAGGAAGGAACTGATATTTTGTTTTATGTTTTTATTTTATGTTTTATTCATAAAGATGGAATAAGAGATGCGTGTTTTGTGTAATGCTTTTATTCATATTTATCTTTCAAGTCATTATTTCTTTGATTTAGCCGGGGATTTAAACAAATGAGAGACCGACGGATCATGATTAGGAGTGTGGTTGGTTTGTTTACTTATTTAAGAGATTAGAAAGTACATTTAGACTAAAAAATATTAATCATTAAGAATGAAATCTTTGCTTTATTCTTTCTTTTTCGTTTTTGATAATCTAACATATTTCATAGAATGTTTTTTTTCCTGTAAACAAAACTTCATGTACTCTACCAATGTTCTTGCCATTTAATGGCAAGAAGTTTGTTCACACACATTGATAATGGGAAGAGGAAAGATGTTTCTTGTCCTGTTTAGCAATGTAATATTTTTTGCTTGTGAAAAAAGAGCGACATAAGAGGAGGAGGAAAGATGTTACAATTTTTAACCTTTGTATATCGAAGACCAGCGATTTGATTCTTCTACTTCTGATGGATGCTCTAGAGAAGATGAGAGAACAAGAGTTGGGGGTGGCCTAAAAAGGATTGGAGTTGGGTTAGAAAAGAAAGGAAGAATACTGATTTGTAGAACTTGTGTGTGAAGGGGAAAGAATTGCAAATCGCTGAAATCCCTCTCTCAGTCTCATCTTATTCTCTATGCAAATCCCTGAAATCCCTCCACAAATCCTCTCATCTCTCTCAGCCCATTCCGCAAGTTTTGGCTAAAGCATAGCCAAACGCACAAACATGAATAGTGCCCATTTCAATCTCTACTTTAGAATCGACTGGCAAAACCGTAAATATTTCGAAATCTGTTCAAACATAAAATTACCCTTCTAACTTTTAATAATTACCTTCCAACCCAACCACAACTTTGATGATAGTGGTGTAAATAAAGCAAAATCAAGTGTCAACAATTTGATCCCTCCCTAATTTTAGAATAAATCATGTTTATAGAAGGACTTCTAACCCGTTGTGAGGTACATCATCTACTTCTTATGAATAGGTTGTTCAAAGCTGCACGATTTGAAAGCATTGACCTTTTAGTTGTGATTTATGATTGGTTGGGTTTGTAACGACCCGTCGAATTTTGGAACAAGGGTAAAGTTGTAATTTCACTTTGGTTGGGAGATATTTTGTTATGTTGCTTTTGGGTCTTAATTGGTGTGCCATATGGGGGCCCACTTCCTTTTTGGTTCCCCGGCCCATTCCCTATTCTTCTCTCATTCCTCACCCGGTAAGGCTCTCATTCTCTACCTCTCTACACTCTCAACTCTCTCTCAAACCACCCTTTCCGAGGGCATTTTCACACAAACAAACAACACCACAACAACAACAATATCACCACCATCACCCTAGTGAACTCAAAATCGAACGAGAAGCCTCTAAACCCTTCCAAACTTGATGTATAGTACATTCATTGTTCACCGAGTTTTTCGACGAGTTTCCACGTCCTCTAGCAAAGGTAAGTCTCAAACCTTGTCCAAAGTTGTAGATTGTGTCTTGGCGTATGTTTGGAAGTAGTTTTGAGAATTTTTGGTGATGTTTGGATGTAGGAATCTCACAGGGAAAGCTTCCCCTATTTTTCAGCAAGCACTGCCACTTTCGAGGCCTTTTTTGGCCAAAATACGGTGAGTTAGCTGTCGTGCAAGGTACCATTCTCTTCATCTCGTTGAGAACTATGATTTTCATTTTTGAATAACTCGATTTGGTTGAGTATTGAGGAAGTTATGAGCGTTTGAAGGTTTGCCTAGAAACCGGCCAACCCACGACCTGAAATTAGGCCGACCCCACCCGATACCCTTAAACCGGATCGAAAACCCAATTGAGTAACTCGACCCAAACCCAAAAACGCTACCTGGCCCAAACCCAAACCTTCGGCCCACTAACCCAAGCCCAAACCTAAACCCATAAACTGGCCCAAACCCAAATCCAACCCGACCCAATCGGATCCTAGTTCCAAGTTAACACGTGGGTCCGCATGTGGACCTGCGCGTAGGCGCGCGTGGGTGCCTATCTTGGTTGGTGCGTAGAGCACACAAGCCTCCATCGAAGGTACTATGCTTCGCCACCATCCACGACAGAGACCACGGCGGCTCTAGCGACCCAACTCGACTCGTGGCGGCGCATGTGGGTATATGAGATTCCCCTTTAGGTTTTTTGACGTCTTGAATCCGTTTACAGTGTCCGTTTTCCCAAATTCAATCGTTATACTATAGTTTTATTAATTGGTCCCTTTATGTGCTTAGGTGCATTTGTTAGCGACATTTCCATCTTCTTTAGTTTGCACGGCTTTTCGACGGCAGAGTAAGGTGAGTGGACCCCTTCCAAAATGCATGTTTTTACTATTATAAATGCATACGTGAAAATATGATTTTATAACTACATTTTATGAAATGTGTATGAGTAAATCGAATTTACACCTTATGAAATATCATGATTTATCAGACTTACGTTCTTTGAAAGATTTATGATTATATACTACAAACATGATTTATGATAAGACGTTTGAGCTATTGAGCTTCGATGAGATATATTTTGGAAGTATTATGTTTATGATTTTATTTGCTTATATATGCCTACGGGCGGAAAGATATTTATATATGGCTTCGGCCGGGAGATGTAGTGCCTACAGGTGGAAGATATTTATATATGGCTTTGACCGGAGGATGTAGTGCCCATGGGCGGAAGATACTTATATGTGGCTTTGGTCGGGAGATGTAGTGTCTTTGGGTAATTGTGATACCACTACTAAGCATGTCACGCCCCAATCTCGACATACGTCCAGGATTGACACATGACGTCACCAAATACCCGTATCTCTAACATACCCTGCCTTCAGGATATGTACAAAGAGTAATTCAAGAACCGGCTGCGTAATAATTTTTGTACATTATATGGCTACATCTAACATCCTCGTTAGACTGCCTACGTACCCTAAACAGGAATCAAGCCATTCGTAGTTCACCAAGCCATCAAACACACCATCATCATGTGTTGCATCTCCCTCTAAACTACAGCAAATCACCAAACAACCAACAACATAAGTTCAAAAACTAAAATCAAATTAATCCATATTTAATCATAATTTAGCATAAATCCATGAAGCACTCATCTTTTGTACACTTCACCGAATGTGCCACCATATAGCTGCTTCTTAAACATCCATCTTGAAAACTAAATGACTAAACCAAGATGCTATATAATTTAATAAATAATGGTACAAATATAATGGAAAAGGGACCATTAGTGTGACATCCCATCCCGAGATTATTAAAACGTACACGTGAAATGACCTTTCTACCCCTAGTTTGTGTTCGTTATGTCGTTTTTGGTTGCTTGGTGTGGGGTTGGCAGGTACGGGGCCACCCACACACTCTCATCTTCACTGTCTCTCTCTGTTTCTTTCCCTGTCTCTCTTCCCCGAGCTCCCTTCTTTCTTCTTCTTCCTTCGAGTGTACGGACAAACCCAAAACCCACCAAATCCTTGCAGATCGAAGGAACCAAGGGCACCTTCAAACTCATGAGGCTGAGAGGAACACAGACGTACCATTTTCAGGTAGGAACTTCGACGTTTTCACGTCGATTTTACGAGCTCCGATTTGAGTACTATTCATGCAAACTTATTCTAGCTTGTTTTTGGACTTTTGAAGCGCTTAGATGTCTTTGCGAGGTTCCCAGGAGCCTCGGAGTGTTTCGTTGGACGAGATTGGACGTAGGAATCACCTGGTTCGAGCTTGACCGGTTTTGGAGGTTTGTGGACAGGTGAGTTTTCGTGAGTTTTAGCCCTTAAGACTTATATGGACGTGTTCTACTAGTTCTAAGGGTTAAAATGGTGCAAGAATCATGAAAAATGGTGGAAAAACGAACGAGAAAACGTCAATTGTAGGTTTTCCAGTTTTCGGCGCCGGCGACGGCGCCGGAGATTGAACGGAGAAGGAGACGGAATATTCCGTCAATTCTGACGGAATATTCCTGACGCCGTTAACGGAATCTGTCAACTTTGACGGAATATTCCTAACGGCGTCAATTGACGCCCTCAGTGTGCCAGGCACCCTGCGCGTGGGGGCGCGTGCGGCGGTGAAAAATTTTTCTAAAAATTCTGGTGTGTTCCTGAGGTTGTGTAGAGCACGTTGGTATATTCAATTGTCCATTTTGAGCAATGTATGAGAAGTTATTTTGAACGGAAGGTTATGTGCTTTAAAATTAACGTTTTTATAGTATTTTCGCATATAGGTGACACGTATCCCGAGGACGAGCGTACTCACGCGAGGCAGGGGGGCTACGACCCTTCCACGTACCAGTGAGTGGGCTTTTGTTTTCCGTATATACCTATATACTTATAATTCCCAGAAATTTTATATAAATGCTTATTCGTTATATGCCATTCCTTTTATATATTATTGGTGGTTATGCATAATTAGTC